TTGGTCTTGTTAATATGGCCTTGATTAACGGCACTAAGTGTTCCACCTTTTGTTTGAAGCGTTGGGTGTAATATTCAATTTTAAAAAAACCTGCTTGGAAGTGGTTCCATGTTTTCCACTTCTCCTCATTATCATCTCTTTATTGTAAATAAAACTCTCAAGACAATAAGGGGGCTGTTAATGAAACGTACCTGAATATACTGGCGTTTTGTATGCTCGGTAAAATCATAGTTACGTTTGTCAAAGTCCTGAATTTATCAATGATTATTGTATGAATGAAAGATACGAGACCTTGAGAGTAAGCTATTTATTGAAGTTTATGATATTTGCAACCGAAACATGCCTCAGTAGACGCCATCTTTCATCTAAAAAGCAAATGATGCGGTTCAAGAAAAGTGATATAACATTTAAATTGAGCAGGTGAAACTAATATGTTCTCAAGAGTTATATGAGCAAAACCTATTACAAAAAATAATACTCGAAATTTTTGTTTTATTTTTGTTTTGCTTTTTTCGTTTTGGCTTTTTTTTTTTTAGTAAAACAAGAGTGATATGTTAGTAATTAAGGTTTATGGCTCCGCTGAAAGTTTGGAAAATTTAGTAGAAAGTACGACTGCTTTTGTTTTATTTTAAAGCAGCGGTCCATTTTACTAATTTCAACATGGAGCTCGATGTTGCATTCATGGGAGCTTGTGGCGTTTTCTTTTCCGTGAATTATTTTACTTAAAGTAGACGACGATTAGTCATAATCTGCAGGAAAACCAGAAATAATACATCACAGCCTTACAGCTTTTTAAATTCTTAGAAGATAATTGCTGTCAAACAAACCTTTCTAAACATGTTGAAACGTTTACGTACAGTAACACTAGAGCTAAATTAATATGACACTTCCAACCAGAATGCTTGCTTCGCTCAAGGGTTAACCTTCTTCAATTGTTTAAATTCTTTTATTCTTAAGCCCGCTTGATGTATCCTTAACAACTAAAAATTGGTTCACCGATGGCAAATCTCTCCTTACACCATTCGTCGCTTTTTGCTTATTCCGCACGGTTAGTAGAATTTATATTCTCTAAGATGAATCATCGCCTAAAGACCTTAAACCACTTAAGTCTCCACATTAAGAAGTTTGGAGTGAGGGCAAATACCGTCTGGATCTTTCTGCGGATTGCAAACAGCTTATGAAGAACAAATGTCGTGTGTTTATACATGCTAATGAATTTGAAAGCGCAAATTTGATAGATCTTGAAGCCCTCTTCTCAAATTAGGGAAACCAAGCGGGCTTTCTTTCATTATGACACACAATTGGTGTAATCAAGTTTAGTGAATGCATAAATATTGAACGAAACCTTTTAGGCGTCTTCTCTTAAATAGGGCAAATTGCTTAAGGCGATCATCTTGGATAGACTGGCATAACTTGTAGGAGGGGGAGAAGACGGGATACAGTCTGGTTTGTAAGACCTAACCTTCTAATCTAACAAAATGAGAGCGCGGTCAGTCCTTATGAATATGAAATAGAACGTTAATGTCAAACAGACTTCTATAAATTGATTTAGCATATCAAGTGCATGTCTTCCATGAGGCAACAAATTGAGCTTTTCAACTAGCTTTTTCTTAGGAAATTACAGAGCACTTAACCTTTAATTCATCTCTACTTGGGCGATAAAACACAACGGGACTAAATGATTCCCAACATTAAGATCGAATATATATATATATATATTAAGCTAATATATATATATATATAAATATTCGATCTTAAAGCAAAAGTGAGGGCGAACAACCGGAATATAGCTCTCTAGTTAGCTTAATATGCAGACACTAAAAATACAAGTGTAGTTAAGTTCCGGCCATAGAGTTATGGGACAAAACTTAATTTCTATGAGGATATAAAGAGTGCAATATTGGATCTTGAGTATGTTTGTGTATTTTGTTATGTCTAATTCTCATTGCAAAAGACCGGTTTTTCATGTGTAGTAATCATAAGGACACTGGAAACAAAATTATAATTTTTTTTTCTTTTTTTCGCCGGAGGTACTTATTTATTTATTTGTGTATGAAATTCTTTTTTTAGGCAGGCACTAAATTTATTATAAATTTCTGAAACAGTTATGGGTTCGCTGCAACGAAAAATTATTTTTGCTAGATGGCTCACACTTCATTTTAAGCATTTATGTCTACACTTAAAGGCACAATAGTCTGAAAATTCTTGGCATGAACCATTTTATTAAGAAATCTATCACTGCATGATTATGCACTGTTTTGCACTGTTTTTCTTAATTGGTATTAATAAAAAGAAATTTTTCCTTAGTCCTCTAAGCAGGCAGTTGATAACGAATATTCGCAGTTGATAGGTTTGGTATAAACCCTCGAATCAGATGAAGAAAAAAAAAACCGTCACTCTAAGGTTTAATTTAACTTTAAGGCACACATTGGTTCGAAGTGACATTGTAGCATTAATTATTTTTACTTATATTCTAACATCGTAAAATCTTTCGACATAGTACGACGTAATGTGGTTTTCAAGCAGCGGGGGCTGAACTATAAACAAACGAAATCGCCAAAGGATGACAAAACCAAGACTTACCTTTCTTGCGATGACAAATAAAATTTTACAAGTGTTGGCATTAGTGTCGTTTTCTTTAGTACCATGTGCTTTGAGATAACCAAGACGTTCGTTAAAGGTTATTATGATGATTTATCATGAATAAACCACAAATGATTCTTGTCTGCAGTCACCAATGTCCTTTGTGTTCAGCTTTTCAAGAGCCCCTTGATGAATATTAAAATGATGCAGAGACCATTCAAATATTTCAGACTGAATAAACATGCAATTAGAAATAACCAATTGAAACTTTCGAGGAGGCACTCGCTCACACTCCTGTATTGACAATCACTTTTCTATATTTTAAGCTTGTAATATTATTTTAACAACGGCGAGCTTCCAAACTCTTGATCGAGGATTTCTCAATTTTTTTCTTTGCTTTTCATGAAATATAATTGCAATCATATGGTGGATGTTTCAACATCATGTCCGTAGACATCGTCCAAAATGTGCGTGATGTTTTTATAAGACTTTTCATGAATTAACATTCATATGTCAATGAACATCAAAAAGGCTAGCCATGATTAAACTGAATCTGTGTTTACCAAGCACCAAACATTTTTCGGATCAATATCAGTATCTGGGAAACTGCCCACCTACCCCTCCCCTAATCCAACATTAACCCTAACTTGTTATCAATAGACTGTTGTCAGGTTAGGGGAAGGGTAGGTGGGCAGTTGCCCAGATACTGATATTGATCCCATTTTTCGTTTTCCATTTTCACCTCTAATGAAGTGCTTTCATTACCTTCCGAGTGAAAAAGAATCTTCCTAATTCATGCATTCGTCGGCAAAGATCACAAAATAGTTTTCCACTGTAGCATCTAAGTGCAGCCATCTTAAAGGGACATTTGCGTCAATGATAATGAGGGATTGCGGAAAGGAAAAGAGGAAATACCATGGAAAACGTTGGCGCTTGGCATCCATACTTGGACCATGTTTTCTTCAAACAATCAACTAACTCTGAAACTCCTCTTCTGCATCTCTGATATTTAAGTTGCGATCTCTGTAAAAACGTTCCAGGGTATTTCGCTTCTGAAAGAAGTTTTGCCTCAAACTTTGCCCTTTAAACTAGTAGAGAATACAGGACTGCAGATCAGCGAAAGGAAAGGTCCAAGATGCAGTGCAAGTTTTCAATGCGCGCATTGACAGCATTGCTGTCTGACAGGTGTTTTTAAATCAATTACAGCGAACCTCTGAATAAACACATATTAAAATTGAAGCGCTTTCCAAATCCCTCAGATATCAAACAATTTAGGAATACAAAAGATTTCTTGTTGTATGCAGTGTGTTACAAGGAGTGAGCTTGTCAACTTTTGAAGTTTTCGATGTCGCAAGAGGTCAAAAAAGGGCCTTTTGCAGCTTTAATTATTGAGAGCTCTCAAAACGTTTTTTAACGTATTTCCAGAAACTAATGAGGTTTTATTTACTTACTACCAAATATAGTTGAATGGGCAAAGTTTGAGGCAAAACTTCTTTCCGATGCGAAATGCCCTGGACCGCTCTTACAGAGATCGCCACTTAATGTAGGCTTTAGTGAGAATATTAAAATGATTTATCCAATCAAGATTTCGTGAGATCTGTAATGAAAGACCATTTGAATAGGCATCGGTGGAAGAATATCAAGGTTGAATATTTCGCAGTGAAAATAGATAATTTAGATGGCGAGAGAATACCTTTTAGATAAAGAGACTGCTCCATATTTTTTTAGTTTCAAGAGGGTAAAAAAAGTGAGATGCGAGTGTTTTAATTGTGGTCTCTGTCACGCCTATATCTCTGACCACAAAAAGAACAGACATTCTCACCCTTGTGTCCTGGAAATATATTGAGATTACTACACTCTTCATGTTTGAATTTTGATCAGCAGAAAGGAAAGAGAAAGTCAGAAAGAGTGATGAAAATCAATCAACAAGAGACAGAAAAGGGCATGAAAACACTGTGCTTTATATCAATGTTTCTTCCCTTTGATCACTTTTCGTTAATGATATGAGGGGTTGCCCTATAGTCGTGACTGGAGCTAAGGTGGTTCTCACCTTATAGACCCTCATACACGCGTCTTAACAGGCACATAAGAATATCTAGCCTCAACACTTTTGTTGTCATTGCCCCTCACTTTACTATATACAAGGTAGGTGAGAATGTTATTTTCGTCAATAAAGTCAGTGACTTGATTATGTTTAACAAAGACAGAAAGGAAAGGTAGAAAATAATTTAAGTTTATTTACTGAATGTTAAACAATTTGAGAAAGTTAGCCAATAACCTTAACCACGATTGTACTCCAATTGCAAATTTGTCGTCAGAGGAACTAGTGCTATCTTGCAGATAACTACTTTTTTAATTGGAATGTTTCCAAGCCAGTTTTGTTTGACAGCTGGCGCCAAATATCAGGTGCCCTTTGGCAAATCTGATATTCTGCTGATTAGGATGACTTGGATGAGCATCTTCGTTTGGTAGATTCTCTGGGTGAAACTGCATCCTGTGAACGGAGACAATTCGGAAAGCTAAGAATTAGAGGTGAAGATCAAATCAGTATCAAATTAGTTCTGCATCATTCACTGTCAGTTTGTTGGTTGCTTTGTTGAAATAAGGTTGGAAAGAGTCAAGAACAAGACTCAAGATCAGTTTGGTTGATTACCTCTTATACCTATTTTCCTGATTTTTATTAACTCTACCTGCGGGCAGTTAAGAGAAGTCATTTTTGAACAATTTTTAGATTCAGGATTTTCTCTTCGTGGCATCTGATAAGTTCTGTTTATTTGTAGACGAGCCTCTTTAAAGTTTTCTTTCGGTAGCTAGGAACGAAAAAAAAGGTTAGAGAAGAAACAATTCAATCACATCACACAGGTGATCACGCTTTTGTTATTTTTACCCCGGGTGATTTTTTTAAAAGTAGAATCTGGTATAAGGGAAGGATTGGTTATTCACTGGTTGCTAATCCATTGCATCAGGTGAGGTATACGTATACTGAATTCATGCTTCTCCTGTACTAAACCCATGACATCGTGGACGTTCTTGTGGTGAATTGTCGATCACACGGGAATTCCGTAATAAAGGGCAACTTTTCTCAAATACTCTTTCCCTTACAGGCTCATGAAGAATAACACAATTTAGTTTTACCGTGGAAACTCGTAAAGCAGTACCAATCTCCGATAATTTAACCGGCAAGTGGGATGTTAATACGGATGCAAATACCTTTACTTTAACCACTTTGCTGTTAGTTTGGCTGAATACAGACGCTCGTATCTTTTCTGCAAGAAAGGGCATGAAAAGGTATTAAGTAGAGTCACTCTGAAATTTCGGCTTGCTTGGTACCCTCAAAGACAGGTTCCTTATGTAAATGTCATCTTAATGTATGGTTTTTAATAAATTCTTTGTTAAAGTTTGAAGTTACCCATTAGAGCTTTTAATTTGTCTGTACTTTATTCACGGCGTTCGTTTCTACGAAACGTTAAACAATTTCTTTTTTTTTTTGAAAGTGCTGTATTGTTTATGTATGGGTTATCGCTGAGTCTCTTTCAGCGAGTCCACTCCACAAAACAACGTACCCTTATGCTCTAAAACGCCTCCCTTTGAGATAATTCCTTGTGAGACAGGAACGTTTCCTTTCTAAAAAACAAAGAAAAGGCCAATCATGATGATGATGTCAACTATATTTTAAATACATGTGGCAAATGTAAATAGTTCATATTAGATTTTATGACGTTTTTTTAAGTCAATGCAATGATATACTGAAGACTGTAAAACTAGGAATATTTCTAGGGGAGAGAGGGGTGAACGATAAAAGGTACGATGAAGGGTTGCTGATGGCGAAAGTCGCTCTAGGTTGGAGTTATTACTTCTAGTGCTGTGGATACAAACTAACGAACTGGTCTCTAGCGTCAATAACAACTTGTTTGTTTTGTTGCAAACAATTTTTTCTCTGATAATACATTTTGTAACGGTTGCCACGCTTTTGCCACCGACCGCTACACATTTGTTCGGGGTTCTCGTGTGATTGCAATTTTTCCTCGGGATATTTTCGCTCTCTTCTTTTTCAGGTATTGTAAGCACTGAAATATTGCTCTAAGAGATTTCTTTCATGTCTTCACTTCTCTGACATTTCAAATCCAGGATACTTTATTCTTCTTGCTTGGTGCATATTGATATCCATTACATTTGACTTACTGAAGGAATGTGTGACGGAGCATTCTCTGACCCACGAGCCCACATTTGTCTTTGCCTCATCCGTTTAAGCGCAGAGCGAACCTAACAGGCAAGAAATCTATCTTTTTATATTATTACCTTTATTGTTCTTGCATCGTTAATATTTTCATTTCTCTTAACAAAAGAAGCAAAAAGACACTTATTAAACAAAATGATAACTCTCTTACATCGCTGCTTCCTACACAATGAGCCAAGAAGATGAACATGCCCTGATAAAGCAAAAGCGAGGTTTAATTTTCGGTGACAGCCGTTCCTACTGACAACAGGCTTATTTAATCAGCTTGGATATGATGCACATGAAGAATTTTTGAAAAATTTAATTACTGTATCTGAAAAAAAAAGACTACATCCCTTACATGAGACCCATTTTAAAGGTTGTCCCTTTAAAGATTTTTTTAGACGTATGGTATTAGGTGTCACGAAATAATGTTACTACTGTAACACGTGCAACTTGCGTTGCTATAGTATTTCTGTGAGAAACGATTGGCACCACATATCTTCACAAATATTCATGCGAGCTTTCATGTTTAAATACAGTGTCAAGAGGCAAGTTTGTATCTGGATGCAAGAGAATGAACTGCCTGTCCTTTTAGTAGATTTGCCAGTTGAATGACACCTTTTACAAAGACACGATTTACTATTAATTTCTATGTGGGCTGGGGTGTAGGGAAGAATTAAATTGTTTCAGTTGCTTTTTCTTTGTAACCAGTTGAGGACAAAAACCATGACCTACTTCTATGAAATGAATCGTTACCTGAAAACTGGAAGAAAAGGCAAATATGTACTGAAAAACTATAGTTTTTTTGTTTAAAGTTAGAAGCCCAAACACCCAGGATACTCCAAGCAGTGGTAATAGTACAGCAGCGCTTTTGACTCCAGCCCTAAGAAGAAAAACAACCTTGGGTCAGAAAATACACGAACATCGATCAGTTCATAGGTCTTGTAAATGGATAATTGAGGAACTTTTCTCCTGCAGGAGAAGAATTGAATGGGAGAAATGATTTTTGCTTTTCTTACTCCAATAACAGAGAATTCCAAGGAAAGAATATTCTAGTAACACCATGCAAAAATTTAACAATTTGTTCTGACGAGTCAGACTTTCAACTCCTCATTTGAATCAGACGACTGCGTCGGTTCGGGTCGTTGAAACGTCAATCACTATCACCTAACCAGTGCTCTTGATGACTATGTCCACTTGGATGATCGTACTACTTAATCGAATGGTAACAACTTAAGGGCTTCGCGCGAGAACAAAGTGGGGGAAGACAGAGAGACAAAGAGCAGGGCGAATAGGTGACAACAAAGAGGTAAAATTCTCGTTATTCTCCCCTTGTCCCGTAATTTAAAACCTTTTAGCCCATGAAACTTACTTGACACTTCCAAAGTCTGTTTTTCTTGATGGTAACGCGGAATTGGCGACGACTTTTATCACCGCAACAAGAACCAAGAAATTAACCTGAACACATATTTATTTTCTTTTACCATTGTAACAACTCATACATGGACTAGGTATAGTGAAACAGAGCGGCTGTAATCTTTTACTCAAATTTATGCATAGCCAGAAGATACACTCTCGGGAAACATGGCCCCATTACCGCAAGTGTCGAAAAAAAGTTTCACGATGAGACAAATGGTTGCGCCTTTCAAGTTGTATCTTTTCTGGTGAAATAGTTTTAAAGTGCTGTTATTTGCATACATTTGTTTTAATACAGGTCTCGTGGGCCAAAAGTTCATTTTAATATTAACAAAATAATAATAGAAGGATTTTTCTTTCGAGGTTTAATTATTTTCGCTGCCGTGCGAGGTAGCAGATTTTAAAATTCAAAGAGCTTTGATCTGCAACTTCCTTCGTGTTACTATATAAAAATCTGTAAAATAAAATAATTTTTTTCCTTTAAATTCAAGATCCCCTTTGATTGCTAAGAAACAAGAATCCCAGCTCACCACAATCACTAAAACAACTGGCGCCAGAAAAACCCAAATAAATTGATCATCAATAGACAACCAGCATCTGAAAAACAGTAACAAAATAATGCATGCTGTGGTAACAATTCTCATCTAACGTGTTCCTGAGATGTTGAAAACTTAACGTCCATCACTTCTTTATTAAAAAATTCTTCACACACTCACGACTTGATTGTCCCGTATCCTTCAGGGTGAATTGACGCAGCCACTCCGACAATGATAACTGGAATACCTGAGAAATAACAAGCTTTTAGTTTAGGACTTTTTTTTCCTTCAAGAATCCTATGCTTTCTATGGTAGAATCAGTTTGGTTTGCTGATTTTGATTTCACATATCGATTTTTGAAACAGTTTAAATTGTAACTGACTATTTTATATAAAACTATTTTACCGAATGCATTGAAACACATTCAGTTCACTTTGTCATTTTAGTTAGTTCCTTTCTACATGGCTAGTGCTGCAAAGCAAGCAGAGGGAAGATGAACAATATAGCAGTCCAAAACCTTTCCTTACCCCAGCCAGTCATGTAGTAGTATTTCATTCTAACGCTGTCAGCACGAAACACGGAGAGAATCATCACATACAGATGAAAACCTTCTACACACATCCAAGTGAATGCTGCTGAAAACAGGTAATGCAGGCAGACGGCTAGTGCGCGGCAAAGTGTCTAGGGAGATAATCAATAAAATTTCAGCGTTTTTCCTGTGAAAAAGTTCAAAATTTTAAAAGTAATCATCAAATGTATTGTTAACCTACAATCAACCCCGGTGAAACTGCCTAAATTTATACCCGAGCGTTATCATTAAAAGTATCCCATGCCAGTGTGGGTGGACGATTTTTCTTCGACAGGTATCCATGTTTAAGATGACTTACAAGATCAAAAACGGTTCAAGCTTCGTAAGTGTGCATGAATCCTCAGGTATCTTCGTCAAGAAAACATTAAACAGCGTTTAAGGGGAATTGAGTAGGCCAGGGAATTTTTTCTCAACCATATGCTAAATACAGTTCAATCTACTAGGCTTTGTCTTGTATGGCAGATTTCTGTGGTATCTGATGTTGAACTTGATGTTAGTGGTACCTTGTGTCCTACAGCGTTTACACCAGTCAAGAACAGCGACTGAGCCAGCAAAAGAGCCAAGGCTAAGTTCATGTGAATCTTATGTCTTTCAGTGGAAAGCGCTCTAAAAGAGAAAGAGTTAAGATAAAACAAACACCATAGTCTACCCGAATGATGAAAGGTCTGGTCAGAAGGTGCTAACAAGTACAATTTAGCTTGTGACGAATTGGTTGAATCTGACTAATTCTGAAGATTTTAGATATATGAAAATTCATATATTTGCACTGCGGTGGAGAGATGAAATTAGGAGATCCTCGCAGCTAAGAACACTACTGAAACGAGTAGTTGTAAATAGGATCTCCTAATTTCATCTCTCCACCGCAGTGCAAATATATGAATTTTCATATATCTAAAATCTTCATTCACTTAGATGTTTATTTGGACCCAATTCATTGACCAGCTCCCAGTTGGCTTGTCAGCTCAATTGGTAGAGCGCTGCACCGGTATCGCAGAGGTTATGGGTTCAAATCCCGTACGGGCCTGAATTTTTTTCAGGTCCTATTTACAACTACTCGTTTCAGTAGTGTTCTTAGCTGCGAGGATCTCCTAATTTCATCTGACTAATTCTGTTGCCTGATACAAGGATTCGAACGTCAAGTTTTCCCGTTTTTATTTCCGAAGGCATTACCCTTCTGAATGCTCGTTCAAACGCCCAAACTCCAAATTTACAATCCTTCTCAACATATAAACTTGGTCTTTGATAACAAAAGAAATGTCTTGATGTCAATCCAGAATTATGTTGCTATTTCATCGCTAATTAAATGATCAACACTCTCATTTCATCTCTCCTGGGTATGCAGAGTAAGTGTCGACAGTTCTTCTGGATTCAAAAAGGGAGAGGTTAAATAAAGTTAAACAAGTTAAACAATCTATGGATGCTGCATTTTTTTGCATTTAGGCAACTGTTATTCTCACAGAAGACAGTTCGATGAGGTACTCACTCAAATGCAAGATAAACCAGTAAGGTCACAAAGAGACACGCAATGGAGACTCCGCAACCAACATATGTTATGACTCCGAGCGCGAATTGATCCTCATCTGAAATCTGCGAAAAAATGGTTGAACAGATTATGTGATAGGACGAATGTATCAATCAAAAAAAACCTTTTTTTTAATGTAAAGAATAAATCTAGAAATGTTTCCTTGTTCGATTATGCCCAAAACCATTATAATAAAAAGGTAGCTTTCAATAAACGTGATAAATATGATTTTTTAAAACACCCCGCTTGCTTAAGAAAATATTTGAGATGCTACTAGGGGTTTTGCGCATTCGAAAACTATTTTATTTTATTACACGATTTCAATTGTCTTTATGTTGTACCGTGCTTTACAGGTTTATTTCCATTGAGTATAGATAATTTTAAAACTAATAATAAGCATCAGTGTAGTATACGTTGGACACCAAGAAATCCGCCGGTCCGGGTTATTCAAGGAAATATACTAGTGCCATATAGCAGAGGTGCCCATTGTGGATGTCTTGCTTCTTATGTTCAGCCAAGGACACTTAAAACAGACCGCCATGTTGTGCATGGAGAGCGGGAAACTAGTGAAGGACCTTTGGTGGACTACGGAAAGTGATATTCCGTTTGTTTAAAACTGAATAAATAGCCAATGAAGGTCTTTTATAGATCTTCTAACAGTTACCTACCTCACTCGAGGCTGTATATTCGATAGTAATGGTCGAGCACTATTCCATCATATTTGACAAAGTTACCTGCACTTCTGTGTACTGGGTAAGAATTGCAAAACTTGTGAAATGAGTTGTATGACATCTTGCGTGGGTGCCATTTACTTGAACGGTCCTCAGACCTTCTGTAGACCAAGCACTGCAAAGAAATTGTTTGTCGTGTAAAAGCCGTTTGGTACACCGAGCTCGTGTAGATCGCACTGCGTCAAAAAAAAAAGCACATCCCATTGATATTTGATGAGAGGAAATCCGAGTAACAGGAGTTTTCTGCACCGTTAAGAGATAAAACGTTTGCATTCCACTGCTATCTTCTTACTTATGTACTGCTAAACATGAATCCATATCCCTACCTGTTTCGATGATCCCAGAATACACAGATTGGTGAGTGAAGACTTCTCCCATTCTATGTTATTTCAGATGGTAAGGTAAAACAAAAATGTTACTGTCCTTTTTTCAGGATAAGCATATAACAAAATATCTAAACTAAACGGGTTTTTCGTTAACTACATAAACGACCCACCATACGTTCTTCTCCGACTCTATTCAATCCCTAACGTTTATTACCTGGTAATCAAACTTACTCAATGACATGTGAAACAAAACGCAAGCACAAATTTTGGTCTCTGTAAGCGAAGGTGTAGTGTTGAAAATGATGACAGACATACCTGGATATGGAATTGCAGCTCAACGGGAGAAAAGGGTTTACTCGCAATTAAAGTTCCCTTGTAATATACCGAACAAGAAAGCACGTCAGAAACGAGATGACTTTTATTTTCCCTGAAACAGATAAATTACTTTAGATTATTTCAAAGGCAAGTGCTTCCCAATAATGATAAAGTCTGCCTTAAATTTCACGAGTTTAGAACACAGACTACCTGCCATTTCTCATGTCGTATCAAATTTTTGGGACAAGTATGTTTTTGATTTGTTGCGTTAACTTTTTTTCTTATTTATTCATCAGGAACCCCCTATAAGCTTTTGCTAAATCTGCTCTTCATGTAAAGATTTAATGAAGATAAATATATTCATTATCAGACAGCCGTTAGTTTTTTTTTCGGTAAATTACTTTGTCTTAAGAAATGGTGGTAAGTAGAGAAAGGGTTTCCATTGAGAATCTGAAAGAACTTTCTGAACTAGAAAAGTTGTTTTAGTATGTATCATATTGAAGGACTTACCTGGTAAGGAAATTTTGGGTCATTTATCAAAAACTTTAGCACAATGAGTCTTTAGTCCCCTAACCTTAACTTATCAGCCGATTATGGTCTTTCGTTTTTGAAAAGGTTGATTAAGCGACCTACCTTTCTTTTTGGTGTTCTTTAAAAGTAGTGGGATGAATACTGCTAATATTTCTGTACAGTATCGTAAACACCACGACGTCACCTACAGTGTATTTAGAAAGAAAGTATTTTTTCATAACCTAAGCAAGTATGTTGCTCTTTTTTTAATGAAGAGAATAAGATTACACTACTTCAATGAAAGCAAAATGCATATCTACACGTTTTTAAGGTGACAAAGTTACAGCATTTTAAGTCACTAAGAGTAAAGACCGCGGAAACTTACCATCGTAAAATGACGGTATTAGAACAACATCGTGTTCGTTTTTCCAAATGGACAGGTTTGTTCTAGAGGTGTCAGGAAGTACAAAGTGTGTTACACTCTGTTTTGCTGTGGTTTTTAAAGCAACAACTTGTACAACTGAAGTGAAAAAGACATGATAAAGTTAGACGAAGACAGCGGAAGAGCCGTTTCGGTGGTGAATAAAAGTGGGACTTTATAGGTATCAGACTCAGACTGTTGTGGAAAGGCGAATTTCTTCTGTTTTGAAACAAACATGTTAATTTCTTCAAGAGGCACGGCACAGTTTTATTTGATTTCATTAATGCTAAAGATAGCAAATATCAAACTAAGGGATACGCTTAAATAGTTATTTCTAGAGGCCACGATTGACTGATTTTCGTAATTACTTACCAGTCCTTTGGGAGTAATACTCGAATTTGAAGAGTTCATTGACCGAGGAGATTCTTCCTAACGCTAACGTAATGTTCTCCAATGCGCTCAAGACTTTTGGTAGCTACAGAATAGCAGAAAAAAAGCGGGTTAACATTATGGTAACAAGGTGTAACTCATCTTCCGTGTTGACCCATGTCATGATTTAAATGAAGCATCCCAGTTTGATGAAGGTTCGTTAACAAAGCGCAATGTTTTTCGCGCAGTTCAAGGTTTTAACTTCACAATTGAATTTCGTGTAATCTTACACCGCCACGGTTATCTCTGAAGCCTCAAATTTTCTAAAAACTGAACTTAATTTGACGTAAACTGCACTTTTGTTAAGAGAATCGACGTTCATGAATCATAGGCAGATCGCAGGAGGTTCGTCTCTAGCGATTACAGTCGCGGTATTTGCAGAGGCACAACTAGGAGGGATTAAACAACTTAACCTACAAAACCTTTTTTGTAGCGCTCCACGCGTTTTCGTTTCTCCCATCAAAGCTGGATTCTGCCGTTGTGATCAGCGAGGCAACAACGCTCTAAATAGATAAATTGACAATTTATCGGTAGTTACAAATTACGTAGAATTACGATTGACAGCGTATTTCTGAAAGGAAACCTTCCAATGGCAGAACAAACTACCATTAGTATGATGGAGATTTCTTGTACTTTGAAGATTTCTGGGAAAATTGGGAAATAAGAACCGAAATATATGTAAGTTGTGAACAAATACTTGCAGTATCAATGCTTGTGTTTCTTGGAAGGCGCCATTTTGGCTCGTACGACGTTATACAGTTGCCACTATTACCATCAAGAAATAGCAACATAACAATTTTCTCTAACAATGGAAGTTTCCTTTAAGCTTTATTTAGATCTTTTCGGGAAAATTTTAATCAAAAAGCCATTGCCTGCCAGCTGTTGCAAATTAGTCAAAAGATATGCTTCAGAGGACTAGTAACATATTTTTTGTGTTAAGAGAAATAACCTAAATCATTATAAAAGAGGCTGTTAACATACTTTCATAATCTCTTGATCTTCGCTTGGGATCATGGAAAGAGCTAAACCAAACTGTTCAAGTATTTTTATGAATACGTCAACATATTGCTCAGTTAACGGCTCCTCTTCCACTAATGTTCGAAGGCGTTGGAGCAGATTGTGAACATCCTCAACCCACGAGTTGTTTTGAAAGCTTCCCATGGATATCTGCAAATGTGGGATTGAAATAACTGTTACAAATTCTAAGTTCATTCATTACCCACGGAAAGACCTGCATTTCAAGTGTAACTTACTTTAAGTTGATTATCAAAGATGGGATGCAATATTGATCTAAACAAACTTGACTTATGACGCGTAAACTTCGATATTACTGCTTTCCAGCAAACCATATTTACAATGGGCACATCATTTGTTTGACTGGATTATAAGGATTTTTCATTAAAACAAAGGTCTTTGGGAGCTATTCGGTGCAAAATTGTAATTATCTAAAAACCATTTGGTTTCCACAACTTTGTAGTCGGCGGAAGAACAAGGGGCGACAGGGAGCTGTGGTCCTTCCCTTACGAAATTTCGAAGGGGAAGAGTATAGCCCCGTAAGTTTCGGTGTGCAGAATACTGGTAACGCAGCATCAAAATAGCCCTGTAGCATGTTTAGTTTCGTGAGCTTTTTACAAATCTTCTCGTGTGGGTCGCACTTGCTGAAATGTTGTTTTGTTGGACTCATTTTTTGGAATAACTGCCAACCTAAGCATCGAAACAGTTGCGGTTACATTAAACACAGTTAGCTAAGGTTTTGTGTCATTATATTTTACATTACCGCTAGGGATTCCGTACTCTTGAGCAGGGCTTCCCATTTTCTTGTCACTGTGATATCAGCGAGAGGAACGGAGGGTGCTGGGACTGCATCTGCGACAGACAAACAAATAATGTGTCCACTCATTACACGGTTGACATTGTCGCCAAATCTCCCATAATTATCTCTAAGAGATTACCGAGCATGAACCTTAAAAGGATCCAAATACTTACCAGTTGACAGGGTTGCAGTAAGTGGTTTGAAGTTTGTTGAGCACTGAATACGTTTGGTAGAAGAAATACCGTTACGAGAAAAAGATGTCCTAACACCTGGAGACGAAGTGCGCATTCCACTTTGCCGTTTAGATATGTTTTTGATAGAGGCAGTTATTGATGACTCTCTTCTCGCAAGGAGGGAAGAGGTAGCAATAATAGGATTGTCAGTTGTGGTTATTTTGACCGAAGGCCGGGTTTTTCTAGGAACATAATTGGAACAGGGTATCGAGGATGAAGGCAAAAGTGTTTGGGTAGTTGTGTTCGTCCAAGTGAATCCTGCAGGATCAACAGGAAAGACTGGGATATTTTTCCACGATATTCTGAGATTGCACGAGTAATCTGCCGAGGAAAAAATTCCGCATATATAAATCAATTGTGTATGATATAAAGGCATCCGCAAATAAACATCGACGATTAAGAAAGGATTGATCATCGTCTGTGCTTCCAAGAGAATGTAAAAGTCGTAAATTTTGTTTTTAAAAAAGGGATTTGAAGACATTCAGGTACGTCACCATTTTTAAGCTAAGTAAAGATTCTGTACAATTGATGACCTCAATAATCGATTTCAACATACCTCGTATGGTCAAGAATCCTGGAGATGCTGTTGTTTGGTTGGAGCAACCTGTGGAATTCCCTGGCATAAGTAATATAGAACCAGTTGATATGAAAACCTTGTTGGCCAAGATATCCACAATGCCTCCTCCACCTCCGGCAGACCCCTTTTCCCAAACTGGGTGAATGTTACCATTTTTTCCCGCATGAGCACCATTTACCTCCAATGAACCACCATCAATGATGTGAACCTGATTTGATAAAGATTTATGTTTAGCGGTTTTTATCACGTAAGGCATGCTATGAAGAAGGAGTGACAGGGGGGCGAAAACTAATCGTACCTCGTTAGCCTCTAAGCGGATTAGTCCTCCTGAACTTCCACTGTTAACTTCGTAGTGCCCTTTTGTTTGCTGTGCATTGGCTTTAATCTTTTCTTCTGTGAAAGGTGAATTGCTAAAGACTTTAAAATTTCCCCAGCGGGGTTTCTATCAATTTAGAATACACTCGAATATTTGTTAGTCGCATGAATTTCTTTGGTCTTCTTTGCCTGTTTTCTCCAGATTTAAAGGAAAAGTTTATGTCAGAGAAGACGAATTGTTGGCAGACAGGGGTTTTAGCGCATATAACTGTTTTAATTGGGCTCTCCAATGTAAAATTTAGTACAAGCTTATTCCAAAGATAGTCGTTGAAGCTGTGACCTACTCCTTGAGATAAATCGGTTTCCAGAGCCCACATTGTGGTAAACAGATTGGAGTCTTTGTTAAGAACCAAAATGGAATCAGCTTAACTTTTTCGCAAGTATTACGTACCGATTTTTATAGAACCCTGCTTCGCTACCAACTGTAGTGCTCCCCCTCCATGTCCAGGTTTAGTAATTGTGTGAGCAGAAGAATCAAGATAAGAGCCTGTAACAAAGAATAATTAATCGCAACTAAACTACCTTACCTGTACTTAATAATTACAGACTATCTTTTCTTTCGTCGTTAGTTTCTTCTCCTTCTTTGATAGAAGGTTTAGCCGCTGTGTTCCAACCTTACGGCAGCGAATTTAACGTTCTAACCATGAGATTAAAATTGGACAGAAACCGCTTGTCGAATCAATAAGATCAACCTTTTTTAATTGATTTTTCTAAATGTTAAATAAGAATCGTCGTTCTTTAAAGAGTTTCACTGTTTCATACGAAATACACAGATTTCTTGAAATTTACGAGCTTAAGTTCCACATTTACCTGAACTGCCTCCCAGTAGGACTTGGTAATTATTCCTTCCATACTCTAAGCCACTGTAGAGGTTAACGTGAATGTCATCAAATACTGGATTTCCTCCATGGCCACCATGTCCACTTCCACCGATGCATCGTGGTGACTGGTAAGTTAATAATTCTCTGCTCGTACTCCCTGGTCCATTTCCTTTAACCCAGAGGGGCAAATGAAACGGATTAACTTCGATCAATTATACTTCATACTTTGTACCACAAGCTCTCACACACCGTTTAATTCTAATGATGATTTTCACACGGTTTTCAAAACGTTAGTCATAGTCATGAAACCAGGCACCTTTCTAGGACTAACCTTTCCGCATGAACACAGTGACATACTTATTCTTCTGGGACAGAAGAACAATTTACTGTTTCAAAAATCACTTCAAGTGTGAATAATCACGTACTAAAAGATACTCCTACATATGTTAGCTGGGTATATAGAAAGGAGAGAAAATGCCGTAAGCAAAGATTTTCAGATTATGAGAGCACTAAAGAATTGGGCTTCCAAAGCAATCTGAATTGCAGTTTTCACCCATTGCTAGGTTCTGTGATTGATCCAAAAATCTACCGTACGTATTTAACCCTGCTAACTGATCATATGCAAGTTGCTCTGATTTTCCAAAACCCACAATCCATACTTTGGTTTTGGTTTTCTGCAACTGAAGGGAAAGTGCTGGCTGGTGTGTAAGTCAACATACTTTATAAGCCTACCTGGTATTATAGCTGATGACCAATTTCTAGGTTTATCAATGGGCATATATCCTCCAACACACTTCCCACCCAGCACAGTCACTGTGCAAGATAAATCGATCAAACTTCCAATAACGATATCTCCTTCCAGAGACTCGATAGACAGTGAATGTTCCCCAAACACCTTAACAGTAGAGCAGGCTTCTATTCTGATGTTTTTGGAAAACACTATTCGGGCAACGCTGTAATTCCATCCAGGTGAATTGACAAAATTCCCTTTAAAAGAGAAGGTTTTTTTGGAAGTTATTTTTAAGATTTTTTTGTTCCCTTGGCTGTCTACCACAAGAGCGGAAGGCTCTGTAGTGTTGATTTCAAGCGTTTCTCCTGGAGCCAAGGTAAGCTGGTCATCTGCAAAAGAAGAAAGTGAAATTGGGCGTTTTTAACTGAACGAGTATCTTGTGAAAAATTAATTTAATGGCACTTTAGTCGATATGAGCAAACATAAGTTCAGTCTCACTCGATCTTAAAAGTAATTTTAGTCAATAACTAAGAAACGAAATGTTAAATGCTGAACGGCGTAAGCGCCCTTGCTGACATTTGGGTGCCACCTGTAGGCCATCCTCTAATCTCCTTACATAAAGTTTAACACAAAAAGGAACTTCAATTAAAATTGCTTATTAAAAACGTCAAAAAAATACTCCATTTCCACATAACCAACATTTATTGCAGCTAACGTTTTTTTTCCTCTGTCTGCTGCAAAAAATAAAAATAAAAATATAAAATATATATATATATATATATATATATATATATATTATATATACACCCGTTTTCAAAAACGTTAAATATATAGACCTTTTCTTATCTCATCAAAAAGAGACACTTTTTGACAAGAAAACGAAAGATGTACATATATTTTATATGTATTTTCAATGTTGCAACGTTTTTGAAAACGGGTGTATATATATATTTAGAGGATACCAAACACGAGGCTTAACGTTTGCTTCGAGCCATGCACGCAGAATACTATCGCTTCTCAGTCTGACCGACGACATATAACTTAGCTCCTAAGCGTCATTTACGAAAAAGTTAAAACAATTACTTGGCTGTTCAATAGCTTAACATTGCATTTTCGCTTAGTGTATTTGGTTTTCCGCTATTTAGGAAATGGACTATGCTAAACCATGATGCGATTAGTCATCTCTTTTGGCAAACCTGAGAGGTCTACGTCTGGGTGAAAGCTATCAAGGACTTCTAATAGCCTAGCGTTTTGATATCCTGCATGAACGCAATGGTTTTTTCGATTCCTGAAAGGTTTGATGGTTAGTTCAAGAGGAAGAGAGCCTTTTGCAAAGAAATGTCTTTTCAACGCTGTATCATCAGAAAGATCTAACCATGTATGTCAAAAAGTTCTTTCTTAAACGTTTTTACAACTTTTTAAAGTTGATTAAGCCTCAGCCAAACAAATATTGGTTACTTCCGCAAAAAGAAATTTTAATTTTTTTTTTCACATTGTAGCTCTACAACAAAGTGTTTTAACGACAATCTATCCCTTACGAGGATGACGCATTTTGGGGTAACACGACGGAAAAGAGACTGGTGCTGAAAAAAAATCGAGTTTTCCCTTGAATTTATTTTTTTCAAGGGATCCTGATCTACGCATATGTCTGTTCTTTTATTTTCGTTTTCCGTCATCAATTATCCACTTTGACATCAGCTAAGGTAAACATTGGAACCCATTTGAAAATTTTCATGTCAGTTTTGAAAATTTTCATTAAAAAACATCGTATTCGCACAAAAGAAATGGAAAATTACTCTCTCTTATAAAAAGAGATGAAATGTAAAACTACAATTTCTTCATTTCGTATAAACCTTATGCAAGAGTTTTTAATTTTTGATAAACACAGTAAAACCAGCTTTAACAATAAAGAACTACCGACATCGTGAATTATTTTATATAAAACAGAGATGTTTATTTGAAAACTCTAAGTCACGATGGTGGGAAGATATTTAACAAAAGAACAACTTTCTCTGATTTAAATTTTCTCCACTGGCCCAGCTATTTTCACAACCTTCTAACGCTATACTCTCTGAACTGGAAAACTAGGCAATTTTCTTGAATTCGTATATTAATCAATAGAGCGACTAGGGTGTCGGAAGAAAACCACTTTACTTACTGTTTACCAAGAGCTGCGAGGAAAATTGAACAACCTGTAAGTTACAAACAATAAGCAAAGAAAATAAGAACAAATCAAGCCGTCTTAATGGTAATAAAAATCCTTGTAGTGACTTGAAACACCAACTCACGTTCGAAAGGAGAACGACAAATTTCCACATCATGGCCATCAAGAGCGGGTTCACTCCTTGATTTTCCGGCGACTCCGAGGAGACTACATTACGAACCGGATATGAACGAATACTGACCATACGTTTGCACATTCATCACACTAAGTGAGTTTCCCATGACTTCAATACAAACATAGTGCAGGTGAGCCAACACACATCTCTTCTTTAACGCTGCATATGCACAATGAAAAAAAATTGGACAAGTTCAGTCCGAAACAATTAGAAGTCAAAATGACCACGACTTCAGTCTCACCGTTTTCTTTAGGAATACTTAAAAAACATTCAGACATCTTCATTTCGCAAGCCTGAATTGTACGCGTACATAATTAAACAGAACAAATTAAATGAAAGCTTTCCACGAAACACTTCCTTTTTTGATGAACTGGTTTACTTTTATCCATTGTACCCTTGTTATTGGAGCTAAGACCTAATCAAAGTCGGTATTAGATGAATAAATTATCTTTAACCAGCTGGCGAAAAAGGGACGTACATGCAAACGAAACAAGACCTTCTGTTTATTATCCTTGGTAAGATTTGCTTGAATGTTTTAAATTTATTTAGGACCTGTAAAGAGAAAGCCACATTTCCTGATCAAAGAAAGACATGGTAAAATTCAAGATATTTAGAATTGTAACTTTAATTTTCAAAAAGCAATTTTATGAGACCTGCGAGTTTGATAACGTTTTGCAGATTAGCACTTGGTTTTAGGCCTCAGTGGAAATTCATTTTTGCAAATGCTGATATATTTCCCTTTTACGATCCGTGTTACAACCACTCGCCAAACAGATTAAAGGATGGGCTCATCAGAGAGTAAAAAGTCACACGGAGGTTCGAAATACGTTAACTAACTCGTTTCAATCTGCAAGTTGTTTAAATCGATTTTTTGTGTATGGATTGTAAATTTAGTTTTCTGAAAGGTTTATCCTTGTCTAACCAGACTCGGAGATGAATCTAAGAGTTAGATATTTATTTAAAACTTTTCATTTCCCGCGTCGAATCCTCGTAGTAAGATCAGTAAATAAGCCTGATGCGAATCCTTTAAGTCCATTAAGACTCAATGGTTTGCAATCATGAGAAGGACAATTTTGAAGAATTGCATTCGCGAATGTTGCTTTGGAAGAGAAATTTCATATTTTATTACCACCTGACGACCTTTTCACTCTTTCAAATGGTCCGTTTACTCAGTAAACAACTCGTAAATTACTTTGAGTTCCACAAACAGGCTGCGTGAAATTCTTTACCGATATGGGAGCTGATCTACATCAAATTCAAACAGGACCTTACCTTATTGCCCGGAAAAAAAATGCGAATATTCAATATTTGAGAGTGTTGACTTTTTTTTTCCATATTTCAAAATTTTATTCGCGGACTGCATTACCTTTGTATCTTCTGCTTACTCCTGTACTTTTTCCGAAACTTGGAATTTGGTCAACATCGCGAATGATTCCTAAATTTATTGTTCGCCTGACCTCACTGTTCCTGGACATGAGCTGGTTGCCATTTCAAAATTAGACACAAGTTTTAAAGATGTCAAAGTCTAGACATCTGCTGAATCAAAACTGAAATCAGGCAAGAATTAATTTCCCTCTATAGCATGAAAATTTCCCCTTTGGCCACAGTTTCCGCCATTTGATATTTTTTCTGATCCGATCAGAGTTTCTGTTCCAGCAAATTCCGGTTTCAGTTTCGATTTTTAAATGAATTTTGAAAATCAAGTGTCTAGCTTAAGGAGAGCACCTTTTTTTTTCATATTCGCAGCATATCTCTCATTAGAAAATATGTAAGCGTGGAGAGTACTAAACTAAAACGGGAACATGGTCATACAACCAGACGTTGATCGAGCCCCGTTGGCTCCCTGTTACTCGGGGCGCACTGTTTTAAAGATATTTTTATTATTTTTAAGCGCTCAATGAGCTTACAACTATGAATACAACTGACTTGCTGGATAGATATGTAATTTCAAAGTCTACGGAAAGTTTGTTGTTCCAATTTTGAGAATAATAAAAGATCCTTTTTTCCGTCTATGCACTAACACTTTGTAAAGACCTACTTGATCATTTGAGACCTACATTTAAATTCAATTCTATTGAGCGTGAAAGCGATTGAGATGTTCAAGCTTTTGAATGAGCTTCCATCTTATTGTAAGGTTACCCTTTTCACAATACTAACCCTCCTCTCTACTAATGACTCCCTTTCTTCCATCTCATGGAGCAGGTCTTGTTCCAAAATTTTACAGCTTTAGATGCATGTATTTTTGTGTTATTGCCCTTGAGGTTTTAAGCGGATTTAAATGAAATTTATTGTTACATCGAATGGTGACCCCCTGCTTGCTTTCTGCTTTTTGCAAAGAAAAACTGAAACAAAGTGACATGTCAGAAAAATCTGAATTTCTAATTAACAAAAAGGAAAATTCATTTGATTCTTGTCTTACCCTTAATTGTTCTTGTGTTCTGAAACCGTCAACTGCGAGATATATGTTTCCTTCAAAGCTTTTTCTAACAGTTATTCAAAAACCCAGACTTCCGCTCCACTTTCTCGGAAATGTATTCCGCATACATACCGGTATTTATATTTTGATAGAGAGTTGACCCCTTGGAAAACACGGGGTCAGAAGCCCTGCCGGAAAATATTCCGGCTGTTGTTGTCTTCATGGAAGTTTTCGTCGATCCCACGCCATTCTTGGCAAATCATGGCTTTCCCATCTTGGTATATCCTATGATATCTACCTAAATGAATCGAAATCGTTAAACTGATATTGAATAATAGAGGGTGATACATAGTGAAATTATTTAATTCTTTCTAAAGGGGAAGTCCCTCTATGTTTCTTAGAAACTTGTCATAGTTTTTGGTTTAGGAAGGTGAGTTAAATGTTTCAAATCCATGGACATTCATGGCAGAACGTGAGATCTCAAAATTTTGAACCCCTGTACTGAATTTTTCCGGAGAATAAAGGAGTTCTTTTGAGCGATGGCAAAATCGAAATTGAAATTATGCCCCAAGGAAAAAAATCCCGTCTTAATCTCCCGGAATTTTAAATATGCAGGGTTCGTATATATATACTGGCATTATCCTGTACCATTTGACACTTGATTGAGACTAATAAGTTTCGATCATTAACTTTGATTGTCGAAATCTTGAGTCAATGGAGGAGAAATCAGAACTGGAAAATGAACTGATGCGCTCCACTTCTCCAAAACCGAGTGAACCGAATGGATCGAAAGGAAACGAGTGTGAACAACGCGAGACCAGAATAACGAAAGAGAATTTGTACATGGTATTAGCGCTTTGGATGGAAGAGTTTCCGGTCGTGGAACAAACAAGCAGTGCCAAACGACTTAACAAAGTCGGTGTAGTGTTCGTATTGCCAACCGATCGTGTCTTGGCTGCCGACTGTAGTCGCGATGGCGTCCACGGAGTCGCCCGTGTTATGGTTAACCACTGTGGAAAGCTTGAAGGTTGTAAAGTGTTTGTATCCCGGAAGCCTTGTTCCCTTTGTGCTAAACTCCTTGTACAGTCAAAAGTTTCTCGTGTGTTCTACCTACCAATAGAACCAGAATCAGAAAACGAAGGAGAAATAGCAAGAGCGGATAACCTCTTCAAAAACAGTTCCGTCGGTCAATCCGTGTTCGTTCCTTGCGTTGAACAAAAGGTTTTGGCCAAATTCGAGAACAAGTTACCGAAAGAAATAACACCAGATGACATCAGCGAATGTCGCGATAACCTCTTGAAAAAATGCGGGTGGAGCGCCGAGTGGTTTGCTCGCGCCCAGGCAAGTCTTCCTTGGCCATGCTTTGAGGGCAAGATGAAATCTCAGGTTGACAACGATTTCAAATCCTTGATAAAATGGATCGCCGTTGTCAAGGCCCCTATGGACAAAGGTGTTGCTTTCCCAAAGGTTAAGCTTACGTCTGACTCTCGTGTCGTTCCTGATTGCGATGCTGACAACTTCCCAGACTCTAAAACAGCTTACCACATGATGATTTTTGCGAAAATGCTTGCTAGACAGACAGATGACCCCAAGACTGGTGTAGGAGCTGTCATTGTTAGAGGTCAAGTTCCAGATATCGTGTCTCTGGGTTGGAATGGCTTCCCATCCAAAGCTTTGTATGGCGAGTTTCCAAGAGCTTCCGATAACAACCGTGCGCTTCAAAAAAAGTTTCCCTATGTTATCCACGCCGAGCAAAACGCTCTGATGGTAAGGAATGTCAAGGATTTGACAAACGGAATCCTGTTTGTTACCAAGCCTCCATGTGATGAATGTGCTCCAATGATCAAGCTTAGTGGCGTAAAAACCATCGTAATCGGCGAGAAAATAGAGGAGAGTCGAGGCGGAGAACTGTCCTACAACCTGATTAAAGAGTACATTAAAGAAGGGATCATGACCTGCTATCAGATGGAGGCCACAAAAACAAAAGCAAAGCGTCTGGCTTCTGATCCAGAAACAAGGAAAAGACTGAAATCGAGCTGCTCGAATTCAAATGATGTTTGAACGTTTCGAAGAAATCTGTAAACATTGGATGATTCATAACAACATAAATAACTAGGATTTCCTTCTGGTTGAGGGAGATTATTTTGTCATTGATTTGGGTAACTTGTACTCTAGAAAAATTTAACCAGTTCCAATCAAGGAAAATTGCCCGATGTTTACCTAACCAAAGAAATTTGATAATTTCAATTTTATAACTTCTCATACCGTCGAAGAATGTCTAGTTTCAATATCGACAGAAGCATTGTTGAGCAACTATACTTGTCTGTTATGGTTAACATTTGTCTGGCTTGAATATTTAAAAATTTTATAAATCTCTATTTGGTTCTATGCCTGATGTTAAAACTAAAAGACAAGTTTACATGAAATTCAGTGCGAGAGTTTCATATCAGCTGCATACTTTTAAAACGAATATCTCTGGATCTGCGGCTAAGAAACAGAACAAAACTTTTTACTCAATTAACTGTATTAATATATTTTTGTTGTTTCTGTTTTGTTTTAAGTTTGAAAATATTATATAATTTTGTACACCAAGAAAGGATAAGGTATAGCATTACAGTGGCTACAGATGCATGGATATTTACTAAATAGAGGAGACGACTGTATTATATTAGGATGGTTGTTATATCAACTGTAAGGAATAGTTTTTATGAACAAAATTAGCATTCATTTCCATAAAGCTGTTGTCCAACTATCCACCGAATTAATCAGAGAGACTATTCTAGTGAAATATCATGGCTCTCCATCCTTTTCACGAAGACCATTTGTATAATTCAATTTCATTACAGTGTAGTTATTATGATTTATTCATAGTAATCTTTTTTACCGTCCTTACGAAATGAAAACAAAGCCTAACTCAGGATGGAAGCCGTTTCTTACACGTTTCGCTCCATAAAATTCTTTTCGTGGAGGTTCTCTGACCTCCACCTCTGTTTCTGGTCTCAGGAGTCTTTTGGTGTTTGGGCGTCAACTTTCATTGCCTCTCACAGCCCGATTGCATTTCTTACCACTTTGGTTTCAAAACTCGAAATACCGGGTGAGCTGACAAGCTCTTAAGGTTCAAGGCTTGCCATTCTTGCGCTCAATTCTCCTTTCGCCCGTACACCGTATTAGAAGGACATAAATTCTTGAATTTTTCGTCATATGCTCCCTACAGAAACTTAATAAAATTGGTAATGGTAGTTTGTGAGTAATGGGAGTCATGCATATTCCTTCTGTTCAACAGCTCAAGAGAAATCCTTGTTGGTTTTGCACGCTTCTTTTCCCAAAATTGACCATACAACACGGCAGTTAAGTAAAATAAAGGATCTAATTCAGCCTTAAGTCAGCATGAAGACAGAGAAATAAACTCATCCCCTCAAGTGAGCGTGCCCCCAAAAAGAAATCGTATTCCTAACCTTGAATTCCCGAGTCCATTCCAAACTTTTAATTTACCCGTCTTGCAAAGCGGCATAGGCTTCGATTTCATTCCCCAATTCCTTTGCGGTCTGTTCCCCTTTAGTAGCACGTGTTGGGTCGAGTATCGCCTCGCTTTGTTGGTGGTTGCGAATTTCGCTTTCCTCGAGGACCTATGCTTTGTCTGTTTAGTAGAACTGAATTTTCCAATGTTAAGGTACAACACTATCCATTACATCATTTGTCTTGCAAGGTTGAGCTGAGCGTAGTCGGCGTTTAAAAAAGGGGAACATGTAATTTGAACCATGAAGTCATGGATGAGGTTTTCACTTGAAAATTCCACCGTGATGACTAGAATAATCCCAGCTCGCTTTGAGTTTCTTTACGGAAACGTTGAAGAAAAAAGCATTCTCAAATTTTTCTCGTCTGAGTGGAATAATTGTTTATTTGAAGGTCGAGAGTGTTTCAAGAAGCTCATGGTTGATGTAAATTCCACACACGTTCTAATGTCGATCCATTTTTTTAATAGATTGCGAGAGTTTGGTGTTGATGGCGGTTACAGAATGGTTCAGGAAATACTGCACAATCTGGAACTTTTTTTGCTGTCTAAACAAACTAAGGTATCATATGTAGAGAGGTTTGGTCGAATTTTTTCCTGAAGCAACGGGAATTATTCACACGTGCTGGACGCGCGTGGGGGTGCTGCTGTACATTCGAGTGGTACCGTAGCATCTCGTGTTACTTGTTGTTGGGTTGCCCCTAACCCACTGATGCTCTTGAAAACCTTTCTTAGTTGCAATTTGGAATTAATGCGTTTTAACTTGAAATCTAATGGATTATCTAAGAGTTTGTGTTGTAATTCTTGTTGTAGCTGTTTGGGTAGTTAATATGTCTGACTCATTACCAGAGTGCATTTTCTCACTCTGGCATAAGGTAATAATTTTTTTAGTTTCACTGCCGTTTGTTAGTTATTTCTTTTTTTGTGGTGATTGAAGTGGTTAAGTTGTTGGGGAAACCACTGTGATGACTCGAATAATCCCAGCTCGCTTGGAGTTTCACTACAGAAGCATTGAAGAGTAAAATATTCTCTGTAACACAGTCTGAGTGGTTTTCCTTGAATACAATTTTACTAGGATTTTATTTTGGTATAGTTTGTTTATTTTTTAAGCCTGTTAGTAAAAATGAATAGGGAAAATTAGTGCCCCAACCTCACTTATGGTTTTCTTATTTTTTTAATCATTCATATTTTCATCAACTGAGTTGATGATGTATACTGGCTACCATAAATAGTTTCTAAAGCTGTCATTTTGTGTGTTATCTCTGCATCATAGCCCTTTTTCAAAGCTTAGATTGTCACCTTAAAGAAACTTTGTAGTAGTCAACTTACGTTATCAACTCAGTTTAGAAAACCAAACACCTTGCAATATTTCTTCCCCCCACCAGCCTAACACCATAGTTTCTTTTGAAACTTTCCCCTCTTATATTTAAAACTTTTTTCAACCATTCTCCTTTGTGTTCCAGATTTAAATCAACTTTACCTTGGAGACACCACCAATCTCACATTGTACTTTACTTGCAATGAGGTAACCATCACATTCTAGTGAACCTTATCAAGAATTCCTTTTAACTACTATAACAAGTATTCTATGCTGTCAATGAAGAACAATACGACAAGCATATGACTGAATGCTTCTGTTGAACTTTGATTATCAGAGACAGCATCACATAGTTAATGAAACAATTGTATTGTGTCTGTGCACTTTGTTTCAAGTGTTGTGAGTACAAAATTAGATCCTAGGAGGTAGACAGTATCCATGTAAGTGTTATGCCTTTTGTTGAAATCATAGTTGTTACTTTTATTACTTTTAGAACTGAAAATTAATGAGAAGCATTCTTTGGCTATGTGGCCTCTGAAATTGAAACTGTTCAAGCTTTTAACAAAGGGTGCTATTTTCTCCGAAGACCATCAATGCTAGGCTTTTCCTTTGTTAGAGAAAAATTTATGCTGATGAATAGTTGGAAAACCTTCCATGCATTCACTACAGTGTATAAAAAGAGGCTTAGCAAATTTTACTCTTGATCCGAAATGGATTTGGTATGTTGTGAATCCAGCCATAGATACACAGTAGTCAATGATGCTAGAATTTGTTGGATTTAAGTCTGATTTGCATGATGCAATACTCTTGTCTTGACTTCTTCAAGAAACAGTTAGCTTATACCTCTTTAATTATACTTAGAAAGATGGACCAGTGAGATTTTGTTGTGTTTGTCTTAGGATTTGGTCAACCAAGATAACTGTCCTTGCGGGGTTGTTGCCTTGTGATGCAGTACAAAGGTTTTTATGTAAGTAGTTTACACTGAGCATGTTTAGTTGTCTTGATTTGGTACCATTTTTGTAACCCATGTAAGGTTATGTGTTTGTCATGTGATGAGATATTTCACAGACCTGTTCTGATTGTTTGTGAGGAATGTGAATATGTCTACTGATGATAAACTTTTTGCACAATGTAATTCTCCAATTATGATTGTATTTCAAATGAATGATTTAAATTGGAGGGAAATTGAAGTATCAAAGTTGTGATCAAGTTTAATTTTGCATTTGACTGCTAGAGAAGGTGGTGTTGGTTTTGTGAACCAATCTTAGAGCTCAAGGCAAAGCAAAATTAGTGTATCAGGTTATTGTTAAGTGTTTCAATTTTACCTCAAGCAAGTAATTCTCAGGTCTCATTTTATAAAAAATGAAGAGATCTTTGCATTTTTTCTTCTTTCTCTATAAAATTTATTTGCATCCACTACCCTCTGCTACAGAAGATCTGAAAATGGTTAGGGGTGATTGACAACAAATTCCCAACAGAAGGAAAGCTGAAATGAGCTGTGGTTCAAGAGGAAAGTCAGTAAGGTAGCTCTGAAAGGTGTGTTTATTCTTGTTGAAATATAAATAAATTAATGCTAACAAATGTAAAATATGCCCAGCTTAAACCCACTGTATAAAGCAGATGTAATCTTAATCTTGATATGCCAGCATACATCACCTATATTTTGAGGAGTCCTTCACTGTTGATAAAAGACTCAAAATAACACGGACTGTTGCAACATTTGTGCCATTTTCTTTTCCATGACAAGACATAGTCCATGCTTTTGTGATATTTTACGTTCTTATTAGCCTTAAAAATTCTCCATCATCACACTTAATTGTAGTGAATTCTTGTTTCTATCAATGTACGTGTACATGTACTTTGGAGTAAGAACATTGTGATGGGCAGTGAAGAAATGATGTCTCGTTCGTATGAACATCTGATTAAAATAACCTCACAGAGCTCTCACAATATCAGCTTTTATTTTCATAGTAAATAGTGTGGAAAGGGGAAAAAATTAACCAGTATGTTTTTTCTATTCCTCAGTGAGGATGAACAGAATATTTTATCAGGTTTGAATATGTCTTATTTCATTTGCACAATAGTTAAATCATCTCCACAAACTCAGCTTCCAATTTTATTTACATTGGGTTTTGTTTTGTTGTTTGCTTTTGATTTTTTTTTCTTTCTTCGTGTTTGTCTTGGGAAATCTGTCTTTAATTTCTCCTGGATCTGTCTTGTTGTTATTGTTAGTGCTTTGTGGTTTCACATCTTACCAAACTTGTATTGTGGGACTCTTTGCTGGTTGTTACTCCTGTTGACAAGTCTGAGGTCTTTTGGCGAAAAACTGCTTTTGAACAAGACAACTACATTTACACAAGAAAATGCCTTTTAATAAACTTAAAGGCACAAAATCTTTAAAATACTTGGGTACACAGATATAAAATAACCTGTATGAAGATCTAATTTTGTTCAGGTGCTTTTCTGATTAGAGTGTATCAACAGAATATAAAAAATATTTGGGGATACTTACTTCTTTATCTATTCTTTTGTATTTTACAGCATAAAGGTGAAGGAAATCCATATGAAGCATAAGAGTATTCACTCTTTTAGGGGCAGAATGAAATCCAGTTCTAGTCTTTGGATATTTTTCTTCATGATCCTTATTCAAACTTATTCATTATTGTCCACTCTTGGTGTTAGAAAATTGTTTTAAGGTTAGAAAATAAAGAATATCTCTGAAAGAGTTTTTGCTTACAATAAAATTTTTTTAATGCTTACAATACAACAACAGAGACATGTGAGGAACTTCTTAAGCGTGCTAAGTTACCTACGCTTCATAATAGACGCTTACAGGACATAGCAATACTAATGTATAAAGTAAAGAATGATCTAGTACCTAGCTACATATCTGAGATATTTACTCGAAAAGGTACTCGTTATAACCTTAGGAATAGTGACTTTGAAATACCACGATTTAATACTATACGCTATGGTAAACACACTTAGGTATCAAGGATCATATATCTGGTCCAAATTAGAAAATGGTATGCGTGAACTACCAAGCCTTAACATCTTTAAAACTAAAATCCGTAGAGTTGACCTGGCCAGCCTAGTGGAAGACAGTGGCAACTGCTGCAATCTTTGCAGCATGTGATTTTTTCTAATTATATGCATTGTACAAGTATTTTTATGTTATCTGAACATTGTTAATATTTCTAAATATTTTTAAATTTTAATGCATAGTTTATTGGCTATATTGTTACTTATTATGATACTGTACATAGTTTTTTATTAATTTTGTAATAGTAGGTGTCCCCAATTAGCTCTATGAGCTAAATACATTGACACGGTAATAAAGATTTTATTATTATTATTATAATCTTAAGCAAATGGTTGTTTGGTCTTCTATCTTAACAGTAGCCAATTGTCAACCTTTGTTAAAAATAACTTTGCTTATTTTGCAAATATTCAAGAGTCATAAGTGGTTGGATAGTGCATTTTGTTTGGAAAGGAGAACATTCTCAATTTTGATGGCCCATTGCATTTGTAGAATGATATAAATATAACTTCAGGGTACAAAAAAGTATCTGGTTTGAAGTAACTAAGCTTTCTATTGCTCAACAAAAGTCTTAAAGCTCTCTTTTACAATGTGTCTTATGAAGGTGGAATGCAAAGTACTGGTAGACAACTGTGCTTGATCAATCTCCACTCCATAGAAAGCAGATTCAAGTGAAGATGACTTTTAGCCCCTTAGGTTAAAGAATATACTCCTTGTTATTCCCACTGAAAATTTGTTGCAACGTTACAATTTTTCTACTGTGGTCTCAAGGTGACACATCATTAGTCCAATACTCTGGCCAGCGGAATGGTTTGAGAAGTTCTTAGCCTGATATTCTAATCGCAGGTCACTACAATTCGTGGTGGGATTTTTTTAAGTGTGTCGGGAAATTAAATGAGTTCTTTCTGTCGAGCGCTTGGAATTGATGTCGATGGGTAAACATTCCCTTTCCGGTTCCCTCGCCAACCCTCTTCGCCCTTAATAGAGTTGGTACGATGTGGGATCATTACACAACGTCCTTACCAAACAAAAATGGCGGATGGGACGTCTTTAAAGAAAGCATCAAAAAGTGAACTGTTTTCGTGGGTAAGAAAGGCGTAATTGACCTTAAATGTAACTGCAACCAAAAGCAAACAAGGAATTACAATCAAATTATTTGCATCGTGGTATTTAGGGGGCAAACAGCTATGGACAACTTTGTTGTGGCCACAAGAACGATGTCTCATTTCCGGAAAACGTCGGTGCAAGTTGTCACCTAAAAAACAGTGTTGTAGCGGCGATAGATGGAGGTGGAGGACATACAGCAATTATCACAGGTTATGTAACTGGAGTTTTTCATAAGTGTTCTGATTTTGTGATCTGGAAATGTTTTTTTGAGGCCATTACCATGTAACCTTTTAACTCCTGCACTGTAAGAGTGACCCAGCATCTTATTTCCCTTTACAGTGATGCTTTTCAGTGATTTACTAAGATCATGAGCGTAAAGGAAGTGATCGCCAAGCTGTGATTGTTGAACAACTTGTCCTTATTAGTACCAAATAAAATGTATTGGGAAGAGTGTAGAGAATATGGGTACTGATGTTAGGATGTAAAGGTTAAAGGAGCATGATTCCTTCAAAAGAAGACACGTCAGTTGTATTTCAGATCCTTTGATGACACTTTAGATTAAACGCCATTTTTTCTGGATTATGACCATTTAGGGAGGGAGTTTTTGAAATCACAGGACCTGAATCAGGTACTGTGGTAAACACCAAGTTAAGTACTGAGTTGGATCTTTCCATATTCTTCTTCTTGTAGATAATTTTGTGCATGTAATTCATCTGTAAGCAAGACGTCCACCCATTTTCTTTGTTGTTCAATGCAATTTTCTCTCTCTTTCATAGAGCGAGAGCCCACTGTGTTCCCAGCAAATGCTGGCCTAAAAGTAACACTCTGCTCCTGTACCATACTTTTAACTGTGCTTTGGGGTAAATAAATAGCATAGTTGCATCCATAGTCCTTCATGGAAAATCACATATCATATCTTTAAGAAAGGAGAATCTGATGCCCAAAAATGAGTTTGTAGTTGCACAAGTAGATGTTAAATCCCTAAGTCAACTTGGTCAGCTCCAGAGCATTACTTATCACCATTTTTCTGATTAGTTTTATTTTTATTATTATTTCTTGCATCCTTTGCCTTTTGCGTTAATTTTCAATAAAGTCTACAAGTCCTCAGCCTCTACGTTCGCTATGAATGATCAACTAAAAAGGTTCAAAGTAAAAATGAAGGAATGGTAAGGGGCCAGCTTTGTTGGCTTAGTTGAGTTGCGGTCAGCTAAGCATGTTACCAGCAGAAAACAATCATAATGTAAATTTCCTTCTGGGTTGGAAACCAACTGTTTGAAGGTGCTTCTTTGTTTACTTGTTTTTATGATTGTGCCACGATTGAAGGAAGTTTTGCATGGATTGAAATGTCCTTGTGTGATTTTTCCTTCCTGTAAGATAAAATCTGTGGCTGGTTAAAGATATGTGTAAGTCTAGGCTGCTGTTGAATGGTGTGCCAGTTTTTCATGAGAACCTTTTTAAGATTTGATATGGCTGTATTATAAGTGGTAACAAATGGTAAAATTTCTTTCACCTTCTTTGTTTTGTTATGAAGGGTCTTTGTTGTGATGGAGAACTGAACTTCAGAAAGGATTTTATGAACAAGCGTCATAGGATAGCCTCTGTTACAGAGTCTTTGTTGAAGATCTTGTTTGTGTTTGTCAAAATTCTCCTTACTAAGTTGGTTCTTAAAAGACTTAGTGCTTCTCCTTTGATAAAACCCCTTTTCATATTAAAAGGGTGGCAGGATGAGAAGTGTGTACACTGAAAAGTTTCAGTGGGTTTACAGTGGGATTGTGAATTGAGAATTTTAAGAGTTGAAAAATGGGGTCCTTTGAATATCTCTGTGTCAAGAAAAACATTTCACCATTTGTGTGACATTTCTATCTACCTACCTTCAATAAAATGACAAGGTTATGCTTAATCTCATCCAATAATTGTTTTAAATTATTTTCAGACAAGGGCAAGCTGTTCATGTGTGGTTGGAATAACAAAGGTCAGCTGGGACTTGGTGATACAGAAGATCGTCAAATTTTGTGCCACGTTCAAGGTCTCAGTTGTGTCAAAACAGTTTCATGTGGATGGAATCATACCTTAGCTGTTACTGGTAACACTGAGTTTTAAATTTGCTTTAAGTACATTGCACAGCACATTTAACTTGTTTAGCTTGATGACTCCCAAACAATAAATGCTTCTCTTTTTCAATTAGATCATTGCTGTTTGTGCATTACAAATTTATTCACATGCTATCAAAATATATCTCATATTTAACATTTTTTGAGTATTTTTTCTTGTAACTCAATCACAATATATTTGTTGAGACACTCTACCTTCACCTTTCTCAATTCAAGTGCTTATGATATCCATGTCTGTGTTACCTAACTTTTATGGAAGTTCCATACCTCCAAAAATCAATGGTTGTATAATGAGGACCTCTGAACTTTGCTCAAGTCTTCCAAAGATGAATGCCAAAGGTTGCTGAAAGAATCAATGTGTTAAAAACAAGACTGCTTTTCTCATGGCTGTGCACTCAGCTCTTCAATCAGTTTAAATTTGGTTTTATCCTCACTCAATTTATTTTTTCAGATGCCGGTTTGTTTGTTTGGGGCTCAAATGCATTTGGACAACTAGGTATAGAAAAACTTGGTGGTCACATGACCACACCTGCAAAATCTCAGGTATTCACAATTGTGTGAATGTTCTTTTTTGTTTTTAATTTTATATTGAACTCTACATCAAAGATAACATACAACGCATATCTTTTGTCTTTTATGTTCTTTTCAAAAATTGCTTTTTAAGTCCATAAGCTTGACAAAAATTGAATTTCCTATTCTTCTTTCTAACTCTTAAAAGTACTGAGGGATGTATTTTTGGTCATGGTAACTCACAACTGGCTGGTGAGACTGGTCCATTCAAAATGGAATCACTGTCAGAACCTATTAATTCAGATCAGCTGATTCTGAAATTTTGATCCACTTCTGATGGAGTTTTAGCAGAGGGGTATCCAGTCAACTCGCCGACGGACCAACTCGCTGACGCCAACTCGCCGACGTATAAAATCGAGTAGAGACGTCAGTGAGTTGGTCCTCAATCCAATACAACTTATTAGAAGTTAAACATACAGAAAAGTAAACGATATTTAGTAAAAAAACACTGGTGAACATTGGTGAACATCAAACAGAAGCTTAAACATTGGTGAACATTGGTGAACATCACCAATGACTATAACAGCTTAAGACACGAACGAGTTATTGTGTGACAACAACAACGTAAAGACTCATCATGTCAATCGCTCAGATTTTTTAAAGAAAACTTGGCTTTCTAGATAAGATCTTTAGTAAAAAGCAATTCTTTTTATTTGCAACAAAGTTTATAAGGATCTCAAGGCGAATAAGGCAAGGTAAACATCGCCAATGACTATATCTGCTTCAGATGCGAATGAGATAATTATTGAGTTGGACTGTCGGCAAGTTGACTGTAATTCAGGTGAGGTTTGGAAAAAATTTAACTTCAAGGCTAGTTATACTTGATTTCACCAGTCAAGTTACTAAGTGCAGAAAACAAACATCTTCCCAAAAATTTCTATCAAAAACTCATTTAGCATTACACTGTAGCTAACTGATTCACACTTTACTCCTAGATAAGTGACTGATTATGGAGCTTACAGTAATTCAGATGTTAGAAATTACAGATATTCAAAGTGAAATTTGGAATACTATTGATCAAGAAGATGCTTTCCATCACAAATTTTAAAAAAATGTGACAAAAAAATCATCCCTTGTGCTAATGAAATGTTGCTTAAAAGGGCTTAAGCTTTCAGTCATAAATTTTTTCACACTTTCAACAAAAGATTAGGAGAACAAAAAAAGAAATTTGCTGTATTTTGTTTGCATATACTCTTGCACAATACTGCATTTATGCGGTTAAAATATATCAACAACCCTGTCCAGAAAATAGTTGTTTTCTTGATTTCCCAATGCCATGTTTGTTCAGTCAGCAACTCAATCACTTCCAACAATGTAGTGGAATTCTTCTTTCTTTTTCTTCTTTATCTACTCTCTAGTAGTATTTCACATATGAAGAAGTCATCAGTACTGCAGCAGGACTAAGGCATTCTCTGGTTGCTTTGGGTGAGTCAGACAAAGCTTTACAGAAGAAATATATTGCAGAAAGTGTATTTTTTATTTTGCCTCTGAGGTTCAAAGGAACAACAGAATCTTTTTTAAGATTGACTGAATATGTACTAAAAATAGGATTTTGACAGAGACGTTTTGTAAAAAAGTCACAAACCTTGCCAGTCGTGCATAATGTCCTAGGTTTGGTTACACACTTCATTTTAGCTCAAGCTCTGGTGCAGTTTGAATTTTCCAGTACAACCATGTTGTGAACTTAAGTCTGTTACACTACAGTTTAACTGCCAGATTATTGAGCAATGTAACAGTTTCCATAGGCAAAGTAAGGGTACACTTTCAAATCTCAAAATTCAGTCACTAAAATAATTTCCTGTACACTTTTTGACAACAGGGATAAAAATTAACCAGCTTTTAGAGTATACTTCTCATTTAAGGATTTCACCAGATTAAGGGTAGACTGCGTTACAACCCTAATGGTGCAGCTTTTGTTCCAAGAACATTATAAAAATTTGTCTTTAAAAATTCATCTACAGAGTAGCCTTTCCTCCCTGTACCCAATCTTTTCTCACTGAATTCAGTTTGTTTATGTGGGATGGACTGGTTGCCAAAATCTGATGAACACAACTGGTGAATTTATTTACTGTTCACACCAAAACTGCATGACATTCTTATTGTTGTCTTTCAGTGTGCTTCAGTTTCTTGTCATTAAAACTTTTTGTAATAGAAGTATTGTATGCATTTTTTGGACACACCATACTTAAGTTTGCTGGGAAAACCCTTATTTTAAACTCCTGCTACCTCAACCAACTTTTACTGCCCTTGGTATTCAAGATGATGGGGTCTACACAATTGTCTTTTGGATTCTGTCAGCTGTTAATTACTTATGCATTTAATTAACAGCTGACAGAACCTTGTGCATCATATTGTACATGTCGTGAGACATTTACAATATTGTGTTTTGAAAATTTAAGTCTTAGACAAGTATCACTTGCTATAACCCTTCACTTCCCTTACAGCTACCATACACTCCCTTGTGCATTGTTTAAGAGAACCCTGTTATATCAGGAAGATACCCTCAGAGCTGATAATTTTATCCCTCACCACATATTTACTAGATCATTCATTGATATTGAAAAGAGAAGTTTATTGGAAGTGGTTCATTGCACACCATACAATCTCACTGTTGACATCTCCAAATCAGTAATGTTTTTTCTTCATCTTTTACATAAGCTAATGGATCTGTGTGGTCTTGGGGAGCAAATAAGAAGGGACAGCTTGGCATTGGGAAAACTGGTGGCAATTGTTCAACTCCACAACAGGGTTGGTGTAATATTTTTGACTGTGATATTTTTCTAGTGCTGAAACATCATGAAATCTCTTTACAGAGGGTGTATATCAGCACTGTGGTATTAATAGTTCTTCAAACTTGCATATAGTCTTGTTCTCAGATGGTCAGCAGATAATTGAAGTTGTGGCAGGAGCATACCATTCAGCAGTATTAACAAGTAAGAGTTTATGAAAGTTATTTTTTTATTGTGTTGATCTCTTTTGAAAACTTCACTTAGCCATTGTCGTTAGAAGAATTTTTACAATTTTTTTCAGATTGTTCAGTTTTTTTTCTCATTTACATGTGTGTCGATATGTTTGAAAATTACAAAGAGTAACAAATTGATCTTTGTGGGAAAACTGTAATTTAAGATATTGCTGTTGGACAGTTTTCTATTGAGTGTCAAAAAACCAAAATGAAAGTAATCAAAACCACCAATTAGAACAAAGATTAGCATCATGAACCAATTTGAACTCAAAGTATAGGGCAGGAAACCTGCTTGAAGTGCTGGAAAACACAGCTGACCAAGTTTTGAATTTTGAAAGATTAGCATCATGAACCAATTTGAACTCAAAGTATAGGGCAGGAAACCTGCTTGAAATGCTGGAAAACACAACTGACCAAGTTTTGAATTTTAGTTGTTCAGACAGTCGTGCAGGTTTTCTGGACCAATCACACAGCATAGTAAAGTGAAACCAAAGCAGACCAGGATCACTTTTGACTGCTCAATTGAAAATTGTTCTAAATGTAGAGAAAAAAAGGGGTATCCTGATATGGCTTCCCTCCCCTCCCCAAAGTACTGCTTCAGCTTTACTGCCATGAGGTGACATGTTGTGAATGAGGATAGTTCAATGTGATGGTAAATCTCAATATGCTCAGCTTCAGGTCATGTCTTCTGTTGGGGCTCAAATCAACATGGACAGTGTGGCAAACCTCCAGATATCCATTCAACTGAACATCAAATATTTATTAAACCACAGCTGATTGGTGGATTATTAACAAGTGTTACTGTTACACAAGTCCACACAGGCTGGAGCCACCTGCTGGCTGTCACAGGTAACTTTGCCATCCCTTGAATGAAAATATTTGTCAAGTATTATTTTAAGAATGAACATAAGATATAAGATGATAAATATTCAACAGGAAGTATACATGTAGATTGATATTGGCAATAACAAATCTTATGCCCTAATAGCATGAATAAAATTTGGTTATGGTACTAATTGTACTTTGCATACTGTTGGGAAAGCCTGAAAATAGAAATTTCAATTTTAATTTTTCAAAGCAAAACCATCTGATGTTCATGCAACTCTTGAACACCAGAATGGTAAACTAAGTGCAAGATGCACCATTTTGCAAACACTGTTGATTGAATACAAGTTAGTTGTCATTGGGAACATAGTGATAAATCTCTCATGTTAATCCAGATGGATAGGGCTACAGCTATATGTAGGGGGAAAGCCATTAGATGCCTTAAATTTTATCAGCTTCACAGTTTTACCATACTTTTGATGCTTCATTTATTCAGTTCATGCACAGTTTCATTAATTTGATATGTGTTCCTACAGAAGACATTAAAGTGTTTTCATGGGGCCGTGCTGATTATGGTCAGTTAGGTTTGGGTGATGATGTGGTACAACTCGGCTTTAGTAGCGAACCAGCAGAGGTTGTTCATGTCAAGGGAGCAAATCAGGTATAGCATTTACTAGTTGACTAAAAACCTTTAAAACTATAGTTTTTAATAGAATATCTAGCTGTATACAGAAAACTTAAGTACTTAAACTGCTGTGTCCTACAAAGGATCACAATACTTCTTCTCTCTGTAGTTTTGAGAGCAAAAGCTAAATGTACTTACAGTAGGACAAAGACAGACAGACAGATAAACAGAAAGATAGAAAAAGAAGTTTATTTACCTTTTAGTATTGTAAATCATACATTTGTGGTTTTCTGAGGTGGTAGAATACAAAGCTCCACTGTAAAAACTGTAAGCATTCTGATTGCCCTATCTGCTACATTTAGGTTTTGTGTGGTGCTGAACACAACATGGCTCTTTTAGGTAAGTAACAAATTGACATCGTATCTGCACATCTTTCCTTAATGAAGCAATGTTGTCCATGTCTGGCGCTAAGTTTGAAAAAACCCTCTGAATACTGAATACTAATGATAATTCTTTCTTTGGGGAGGGTGGTGTTAGCTGACTTTTCAATCACTGGTGTGTGATCCATTGATATTGTAGGAAGGCATATAGTATGATACCTTTGGTAAGGTATAAGTGTCAGTTACATGATATACTGATCACAAGTTTACTCGTCTTTTAAAATTTGTGTACAAACATTGAATTCTTCTATTCTTAGATTCTGGTTCAGTCATGACTTGGGGTTGGAATGAGCATGGAATTTGTGGTAGTGAAGATGAAACTCGAAATGTTCATCAACCAAGTGTGGTTTCTAAGCTGCATGATTATATCGCCTCTTTAATTGGATGTGGAGGAGGACACAGTTTTGCTATTGTTAAGGGATAGCAATTTACCCACAGCTTAGAAGGAAGGTATGGTCATTGTTACACACAATCTTGAAGATGTGGTGACCAGTACCAGTACCCGGTTTAGTACTGGCTGAGGTTGATTTGGTGGATTGGATTTCTGCTGGTTGGAAGCACCAAGTTTAAAACAGATCTTGTCAGTCAGTCAATTTCCTATGAACAAAGTAAGGCCATCCACGTTTTAACCTTCACTTGAAACATGGCCCTTAACAAGTAGTCATTTTAACAATTGGAAAGTGCTTTACTGGCCATTGCCAGCGTAATGAGAGAGGGTCAAGTGAGGGGGTATGTGAGGATCCTCTGCCGAGAGTAGGAAAATTTTGACTGTTGGATTGAGGTGCCCGTGATTGGTGTTCCTATGTTTGTATAAATAGTACTTTCTTGGTTGGATTTTTGTGCAGAGCTTAATAATATAGACATTATAAAAAGAAACACTGCTTCGGCAAAGCCGTTACAAACACATTTGGTGGTATTATTATACATTCAACCCACTATCTATTTTCTGATTGGCCGAAAGCGTACTGTGATTTTTCGAAATCAGCGCCAAGGACCTCATCTAGCTGCAGATTATACAATAATCATTTCAAGGACACTCGAGGTCACGGGTAATCATGTCATGTATGACCGTGGTGCATGATTTCTAGGGGTAATCATGTTAAGTTGGCACGCTTTGTGTTGCTTGCTGATTTGTATATTTTTACACGTTTAGAACTGAATTATCAGTTCCACTTATTGTTGTGATTATTCTTTTTCCGTTCAATGTATAATAAAATAATTTTTTGATTCGGTTTGTGTGATATTCATAATAATCAAGGTCTCGGTAGGAGTTACCAGCCGAAGCCGATGGCAGAGGCTGATAACCCCTTCCTCAACGTGCACAAAGTCGTTACTTTAAAAATATGCCTCTAAACAGGGTGTGGTTTTCATGGTAATTTAGTAACATATCAAGATGTACAGTTACAACGTTCATTGTATTAAACAGGGCGAAATATATTTTAATACGGCTTAAGAAATGGGAGGAGGCCAAAATCTTTGGTGATACACTAATTTGTTATGTTTAAATCTATTCTTGTCACATCAAAGAGGTCACGTTGTCACCCTAGGGTGAAAATAGTCGACTTCGCAAAATAGTAACTCCTTTGCGAAATGAATAAAAATCCTTCTCATCAATTGACAATTACTCCAAAATCCTTGTAAAAGTTATCTTTACCTTATTGAAAATATATCTACATTATTCCTTTAGTTTCGCTATGTCTCGCTTGGTTTGGTTTGGTTTCGCAAAATGGACTAAGCCGTCAGGGTTGCGAGTATCGCCGGAAATCATGCGAATTTCCCTCAAGGGCTACACACGACACCCCTGAAATCTTCAGCAAGCTTTATAATTTATACTTCTCTTAAAGAAAGATGAAAAATGTAGTGGTTGCTTCCCAAGCTGACACTTAAACATGTCGTTTTCAGAATTTGGTTTTGAAAGACTTTTCCCTCTTTTTTTTTTTTTCTCGAAACCTGTAACACGTGTGGTCTGCTTACTCGCCATCGACGGTAAAACCGCGAGAGTAACGTAATGCATGAGAAAGACGATGCCTTTGATGTATTCGTCGCAGTCAAAACGTAATTTATGGCTTAATACGAATTTATTTTTGAAAATCATTCCAAAGTATAAGTCTTTGTCATTCTTTTCCGTTTTTTTCCTAGGGAGTAACTGTGATATCTGTGAAATCTATGAATTGATAACTCTCCACCAGAAATATTACGCTTTTCACGCACATGTTGTGAACTATGTAATCCATAAAAGATGTCGTAATGCAAACGTAAAGCGAACGAAGAAGGCTTTTCCAGCCCTGTACAATTATGACGTTTCGTAACAATGTTGATTCGCATCAGAAGAAGCAAAGATTTATTGTAACAATTTCAATAGTTCAAATGCAGTAGTTTGTTCACATCTAATTCCTGCGTATACTGTACGACTCGCTGTAATGAATGCGGTAGAATTGGAACGAAATGGCTGGGTTTTTTTATATTTTTTTTTACCTTTATTGAGGAAATGTTGTGTTGTGATTGAAAAGAACATCGACAAAAAAGCTTGCAAATAGAATTAGTTACCAAATATGATACAAAGGATGCTTAAAAGGAAAGTTTGATAGGGGGTCCAAATCTGCGAAGGGGGGTCCATATCCGCTAACGGATTTGGACCGGGGGTCTAAATCCGCGGGGGGTCCAAATCCGCTGTGACACCTGTAACATTTTAACAACACGATGACTCTTGGAGCAGGGTCGTATAAGGAGAAGGTCGCACTAGAGCGAATTCAAATTCTTCCCATTTTTCGCCAACCGATCATTCTCAAAATTTCTAAATTTGGCGTTGGTTGCGTTGGTTGCGTTGGTTCGCATCAAACAAATGTTCTTCGATCATAACTTCACTGAGTGATTCATGCGTCAATCACAAACTCATTTCGCTCTAAGAAGATATAGAAAAAAATCTCGCGCGAAGTGCTGCGGAAGAACTGATCCTTTTTTGTTTTGCTGATCTTTTGCATTTTTGTTGACACTTGCGCTACTTGTGTTGGCTTGCAACAGAAGGAGAATTTGCTGCCAGTATAACCATTTTCAGGGTATGAGTTACAGTCAGTTTAATAAGCGGCGCTCAAATTCATTTCCCTCGAAAGCGAGAGGGTCAGATCCTGCCATTTCACGCCAAACTATACTTGCATTTTTTTCTGATGAAATTGATCCAGACTTATCTTACAAATCATGACAGTTTAATGGTCAACAAAAGGTGTATGTTCGTTGGCCAAAAATTTGGAAGCCTTCGAGGCAGGACGTCGGCTCCTTTGAAGATTGGCGAAAATTTGGCGATTTGCAAAAATTTGACCAATTTTTCAATTTGGGGTCGCTTTTATTGTACGTTACTTGTTGACAGATCTTCCATCTAGACAAACAGGAAAAGCTCTACTACGACTCGGACTTTAGGCTGAGGAGTATACAGAAGAGGGACCTGGGAACGACGTTCAGTAGGCGCGCAGTAAATACACAAAGTATTTACTTTCTAATCCGGCGACTTAAATTTCACACCGCGGGATTAGCTTACCACGTCCTATCTTCTTCTTTCCTGACCCATCCCGCACTGAAGCTGCCATGGATTATCTGAGGCTCTTTTACTTATTTTTCGGTTAGTGAACTAAAATTGTGACATGTAATGAAATTACAAGACAGAATTAAGCCTTACAAGTGTCGTCGCACATCAGCGCATTTTGATAAAGGAGATGTAATGCTCTAATTGTTTTATTTTCAGTGATCCTGTCCTTCGCTTTCCATGGACGTTGCAAGGTATCAGAGCATGTCAGGAACCGAAGGGTAAGTGACTCTGTTCTTCTGTATGTAATTTGCAATAAGACTGCAACAATTAGCTACTGTTTCGGAAAAAAAAAAAGGTGAGTCAGTCTAGCTTGAAGAAGGTTGTTATATGGGTGGCGACTCGCTGCGAAAATAGTCACGCAAGCATGATGCACGCAGTGTTTGACTGGCTATTCTCAGTTTTCAAAGTAAGAGTTTCATATGAAAGGAAGAAACCTTCGTTTATAAATAAGTAAAAGTATTCTACCAGGCAGATCTAATTTACGCTCCCCCTCACCTCTCGGCTCGTAGCCATTCTGTGTTAGAACAATTGTATTAGCAACATCAAAATGTAATGAAACTTCACTTAGATCTTTTAAGTCATATTATGTAATATTGTCGAACCCTGAGGCATTTCAATGGAATGAATCATGAAGTTATTTGAGTGAATGTTTGCGGTTCCCGTGTAGCCTCCATGGACCTTCAAGGCCGACTTTAAAGAAAAGGGAGAAGTGAGAGGTACTCAAATGTGTGCCCGATTCGAAAACGATAAGATCCTAACGTTTGTGGTTCGCGTTCGTACTGATTTTTTCCCACCTCTCTTTCCTTTGCACACCAGCCATGCTGGATTCGACTAGCGATTGAAATAATACTCAGAAAAACAAGGTATGGTTGAGGTCTCTCAAAAAGAAAAGTGCTCCTTTTTTAGTAAAGAGGAAGTTTAAGATATAAGCAAAGTTAATGGATTTGGCATTTGTTGCTGTATTTTATGCGTGTGCTTTGAGGCAATGACTACCAACAGCGTTAGGGAGTCCCAAAGGTTAAATTCATGCAATATATTAAAATGCATCCATGTGTTTCATTTGTTCGACGAGTCATATTTTGACAGTATTTTGACAGCAGCAGAGCTGTTGCCATAGGAAAGCGTTAAGGAACTAACAGACAACGCCTGGAGATTGTTTAACAGAGTAAACAGAACTGCCTATGTTTTGAAATAGGTGTATGCCCCTAGCCAGACTTGAGCTCACTATTTCAGTATACTAATCCGACACCCGTAGTATCACTACACTTGATTCCAAGGATCCAGTACCATCCAGGTATCCCAGTTACCCTGCTCACAGGGTCTAGTTCAGACAAAATTCCTGTCATCACCAACCCTCTACAAGTGCGAATGGTTTGTCGCGACTTGACAAATTTTGGCCGAAGCGGACAAATCTTCAAACGCACCGCCGACAAAATTTGTCCAAGGTAAACACTGGACGAAATCGTTTAAATAAACAAAATTTTGTTTATCTTGTCATTCATATGTCATAAAATTTTTTAACCGTATAAACTTAGCGTCTCAGTTGTTTCTCGTGTTGCGAAACTAGATTTTAAAATTTTCGCAGAGGATAAAGTGAATCCTCATGGCTGGAATTTAAACCCATTGGCAAGCTATCCCTCTGAACAACCGTATTCTGTAAGACGCTGGCACGTCCCCACTTACGATGACCAGTTTAGCCATCTGCATGTTGCAGGGAGATTTTTCTAGAATGGAGCAAATTTTTCAAACACGTCAGTTTCCATCCGACGAAGTAGAAGTAGAAGAGGTCATTGCACAAGAGTCACAAACGCAGCCACAAGCTCAAACGACTGGAAGCGGCACAAAAGAAAAAGGAATAGGAAAGGAAAGCTATGACAAGTGGACAAACGAGGAGCTAAGTTTACTAGTTGATCTATGGGCTGAAAAACACAACCATCTGGAAAGTAAGGACGCAAGGAAGGATTGGCTTGAAATCGGCAACGAGATTGAAATGAACTTTGGCACCAAAAAGACAGCCGAAAAATGCCAGCGAAAGATCAAGTATCTGATTGACAAATATTAAGACGCAAAGTCATGGAATAAGAGTCAGACGGGAGGTCACAAACGTAAAAGTGTTTTCTACGACAAAGTAGACCGAGTTCTTGGAACACGAGATATTGTTACCATGAAACATGTGGTCGAAGCAGGGACAAGCACTGCTTATCCGTCTTCTCTGAGCGCAAACCCTCCAAGTGATCATGATGGCTCACAGCCAAGCACGAGCGGAACGCCAAGTCCTCCACAAAATGTAGCATTGCTTCTAGTGGTGCCAGTGGGACCAGCAAAGAAAGGAAGCGCACAACGAAGAGGAAAGTGCCGACCGAAGACGCTGGAGAGGAAGGGGCAGTTTCCATCATGTAAAGCCTGGAGTCCATAGAAAAGCAAGGCGAAAAGATCACTTCGTTTATGGAGGGTATGCAGCAGAACCACGGCAAACAATTAGAAATGATGGCATCTTTCATGGGCTCTCCTCTGGAAGCCATAAAGGATGAAATATAGATGCCTAGCAGTTTAACTTTTTACCAGTGGACTGTTCAATCTAATGATTCATATTGTTACAGTTTGTAGAGTTTATAGTTGCAAATATATCTTTGATTTTTTATTATTATTATCAACATGGTTTGATTCAGTTTATAATATTATAGAACAGTTTCGTCTTTTTGATCGTTTACAATCGTAGGAACATATTTGAGTTCCATTTCAAATGATCAGACTTGATTTATTAAAGTAATTTTCGAGTGAAGGACGGATCATGGATAACATGCGTGATTCAATTTAATCATTATTCAATGAAGTAAAAAATTAAGAACACGACAGCAATAGCAAGCAATCATAACTTAATTCTCGATTTTTTTTTGTTCTATATAGTTCACTGAAATTGTAATAGTGTATGAATTTTTTGTATTCATAAATTGTATTTGCGTGCTTTGAAAGGAAGAATATCAACTAAATGTTGTGGTTCAGTCACGCACTCTCTTAACACACTTCGAACATCGTCCCTATCCCTCACAACTCCATCGTTGTTGCTTTCATGTCCTTGCTACGAGGGTCATCATTTTCATCATCACTCCATTCGTCTTGATTCAGTAGACAAAAGTTGTGAAGGACTGCACAAGCAACAGCGATTTTGTTGGCAAATGAAATTTTACTATCCAGCCGTTTCCCCTGTATACGCCAGCGATTTTTTAACATCCCATAAGCGCACTCTACTGCTACCCTTGCACCAGACAAAGCTTTATTGAAAGCTATTTCTTCTGGATCTCTCGTTGTTTCGGGAAATGGTTTTCTGAGCCAGGAGGCAAGTGGGTATGCGCTGTCTCCAGCCAGATAGGGTTTGATATCATTACCCCCAATTTGCACTGAAGGACCCGTCAGAATCTGATCGTGCTCTGCAAGATCAAATATTGTACTATTTCGTAGGACTCTCGCATCATGCATACTGCCTGGAAAGCCAGATGCAAAGTCAAGGAAGCGTTTCCCGCCATCGACAATAGCTTGAACAATGAAGTCGTGTTGTTAGTAGCGACTGAAATAGTCCACCGCACTGTCTGGAGGGGCAGCTATTCTTATATGGGATCCATCAATTGCACGAACAATGTTTGGGAGATAAGAAACATCTTGAAATGTCTCTTTGCAATGCCGTGTTTGTGCCTGTGTGATAGGAAACTTTATGTAATCATTCCTGAGGTTGAAAAGAACCTCCACAACATCTTGCACTGCTTCTAGAACAGTCGACTTTCTAACGTTGAAAACCGGCCCAATACTTACGTACGAGTTGCCATGAGCTAGACGGAACAAACCAAGCGCGAGAACCTTTTCTGGAGCAATGCAGTCACGCAATCTCGTATTCTCACGAGTTACGGCTGGCCGTAAGACGTTCAACAGAATATCAAAGGTACATCGGTTCATTCGTAGTTGCTTTCTGAAATAATCCCCGGGAATCCTTCGGTCATTGTAGTGAATCTCAAACCAAGACTAGTTTGATCTTGGAAGTTTCCAAAAGTATGGGTTGTGTAGACGTGCCCAGCGTCTCTGTCTTCTACAGTATTAATCGTTAAGAGGGCCACTTGATTTCGAAGATATTGATGCCTCAACAACAGGCACACCATAAGGAGTATTTCGTCTGCCCTCTGAGCGATATTTACAAGAAAGAGGAATGCAACAAGTAACAAAATTTGAACGCGCTCTATTACCCCGCCAGATGAAGTCAATGTTTTAGCGCGCAGCAGAATTAAATAAATTATAATGAAATATAATATTGACGGTGTTAACACAATTTGAAGACTTTAACCTTGTCAATGCGGATGCAACAGACGAGACAAAAATTGTCACGACAAAATTTGTCCTTGGATTTTGTCACGGACAATTGCGATTTTGTCTGCTAGCGCGGATCGGCCCTTAGGGCCGGCTGGCAAGTTATCAATCTGTCAACAAGTAGCTGAAGATAGGTGCGACCCTCAGTTTAAAAAAAATTTGCCAAAATTTTGCGAATTCCATACATTTCCCCAATCTCTCACAGAAAACAAGGTTTCCACATTTTTTGCAAAAGAACTAATTTTTTTTAGGGAAAGATGTTTTTCGTCTTGTCACGAGCGTGGTACAAAGAAAAAATTCTTAGTCTCCATGAGGATTGAAACCTCAGATCTTCGGATTTCGCGCTCAATGCTTCACCACTGAGCGTCCTGCAAACTACTAGGATCAGCAGGGTCGATAGTGTCATGTTTGTAAATAGAATAAAAGAGATGGTAAGTTTTGAGCTGCGTAGAGAAATAGAGAAAGATGATCAGAAGAGACTTTACTGATCCTAGCAGTATGTAGGACGCGTATCATATGAACTTCGTAATAGACCTCACTCAACGTAGAGTCTCTGTGGCTCAGTGGTAGAGCGTCGGTGGTGTGGAATGCCCCTTTGTTACCTTTGTAACCATTCTGTTCACTCTGCCTGAACGCCCTAGCCCTAGCCCTTTGCTTGACGTCCTTAGGGACGACTTTTAAGGACACTATACGACCCCTCAGGCAATAAGATATGATGCTCGCCGGTCAATTAGAGAGATCATAGCAGCACATGAGACGTCACACTTGATTCTCAATAAGTTGAACCTTCCTGGGAAATTGAGAGAGATTCGAGAAATCGGTGCGCAAGTTATACATTAAGAACAAATAAATGTGAAATTGGTGTTTTCTGTATTTCTATTCGCGCAGAGTACATTTTTGTTACTCTGTAGAAAAGGTTGAATGATGTGGACCATTGTAAAAAGCTAGTTCCGCATGAATAAGAAAAAATTTCGGAGCATAAAGTACTGTTTATTTTAGTGGGACCTGTTGCAAAGGAGCTTCTCGCTTCCAGCTCTTAAAAAGGGAAAAAGCTTCGAGAGATCTTGAATCGAGAGATTAGTGAAACTTTGGTTGAAGAAAAATTCGACTAACAAGAGGCTTTTTTTGAGCAGCTCGTCTGGTTAACTGGAACTAGGCAATTATGAGTTGAGTAAGGATACTTGGGAAAATTGAGCCTTTTCTAGTTTACTCAACTTGATATTTGCAAAGCTTTATTACTTTGTATGTTCACTTTTTTGGGAAGTTTGTTTGTGTAGTTGATCATTTCGGTACTTGTGTGGCATGAGTAGCTTCAAGAGAAAATCTTGGTGATTTTTTATCTAACTCGGGCGAGAATCGATGTTAAAAAGATTAAATGTAAACAGGGCGTGGAATTGCGCCTAATACAGGCGCCAATGCGACTAAATTTTTAACTTTGGCGACCAAATCCTGAAAATTAGTCGCCAAATTGGCGACTATAATTTTTCATCATAACCTTACCAAGAGATATAGTGAATTTAAAAGATTTGCACAGATAAATCCGCGGCAAACTACCTCATTAACTTTGTTTCCAAAACGCGGCACATGCATCTCGATCGATAACTAGACGCCATCATGGATTAAGGTGAGCTTGAGCTTTGTATATCATCCATCCTACTGTCCACTTTGTGGCGCGTTAAAGATATTTTCCCTAAGTTAAGTTTGGAGGGACTATCTAGAACGCTGACAGAAAGGTTTTGTTTGTCTTTAAAAGTGGGGACCAACATTTTTTGAATTGGCTACCACTTTGGAGAATCCAGGAGCCAAGTGGCCATCAGAAAAAAAATTAATTTCACGCCCTGGTAAAGCGTGTTTGATAAACATGCGACAAACATTGGTGTTCGCGAATTTCTTTATTTCAATTCTAATTATAAAAATAGGACTGTATTTATCCTCGAGCACAGCATTACTTTGCGACTTCCTTTTTAATTTCAGGCTCCGTCCCCAGCTCTGCCCAAAGTGAATACAACTGAGCGTCTGAGACAGCTGCGAGAGAAGATGAAAGCTGAGAAAGTAAAGGCATACATTATCCCCTCTGTTGACCAGCACATGGTAAGCTATTTAAACTTGCAACTCCACACACAGGTTTGACAATAACATCGTTGCTCTCATATTTATTTCAGAGTGAATATGTTGCAGATCACTTCCAACGACGTCCATACATATCTGGGTTCACGGGCTCCGCCGGCAAGTACTAGTAGTGTACTAATATATATCGGATATATGATGTTTGCTGTGCCTGATGTCTTACTCAAGACCAAGGGTGCATTTTTTTCGATAAGGATCGGCCCAGATTAGTAAATAACGTTTTTTTTTTCTGCTGTTTTTCATTTCCCGCTTTGGAACTAATGGCGTGAAAAAAATTTCGGACCGTGGTCGGTATTATAAAAAGCTGAACCGGCTACGAGCGCGTGTTTGGCCAATCAGATTCGATCATTAAAGATTACTGCCCGTTTAGATGCTTCGGAAAAATAAAATATAATGCTATTCCGGTTGTCACTAAAATATATGCACAAAAATTGATTTTCGGCTCGCAAAATAAAGGCTATGTCTAGAAATATTACTGTTCCATCTAAGAAGTAATAACTGACCGCAAATTAATAGGAGTGTTTTAGTCTATCTGATCACGCTTAAAACTAATAAGAAATTCTTTTGACCTGCGGATGGCGGATGATATACAGATAAAGAAATGATCTTCGCAGCTGAGCTGCACCTGAAAAGAACCTGTAAAAATCCTCTCTTCGACGGGATTCGAACCCATTCTTCCTAGGCTTGTTTGTTGTTACCATCAACCGAGTTGCGATGCCTCATGTTGAGAGCGAGGTAAATCTTAGTCTCTGTCTATTATTTCTATTGTATGTCACATGTAGGTGATGCAGTGGTAACAATGGACAAAGCTGGAATGTGGACTGATGGTCGGTATTTCAATCAAGCTGGTATGCAGATGGACGACAATTGGACCTTAATGAAAGACGGTAAGCTGTTCATAGTCCTTCATTTATAGTTAGCCTTTAACAGAACAGCAGGCATTTTTTAACCGAACTCGTTGCCCGAAAGTACTGGTTCTTGGTTAGGAACTTAACGGGTTCAAGCTCCCCTTTTCGTATGATATGCTTTTGATTAATGAACGATTATCGATGTTCGATCTAGGTATGCCAGGCACACCGTCGCAAGCAGAATGGCTCGCAAAGGTAATGAAGTGCTACCCTTATTGTATGTGGAAACATTTGGAGATTGCGCCATTATCGCTTGATTACGTATTTTTAAATATTCTTCATGTCCTATTATTTGTCACTGATCACCATAAGAAAATTAGAAGGCATAGTTTTTTCTCTACAAATAACGTTCTTTTAGAAAAGTCCACACAAAAGGCTTTCTCTCTCTCAAGGATCAAATGATAGGGATAGTCTATGGCATTTTTCATGGCCAAGCCATCTCATCACAAATAGAATGAAAGTGGGTTTCCATTATTCACTCCAGTATAAACGAATCCAGTATGTACCTTTGTTTATAATCATGACGTCAACTAACATTTCATCCGCGTTTCATCCTCTTGTATGCTACTGGAAGGGTTTGGTTACAAATTTTCCAGCCCCAAAACTTTACGTTTTCAAATGCTTTATCTTACTTTAAGCATATGAACCTGCCCAGATTTCTTCAGAAGATTTTATTTTCCTTTAACTGTAAAGAACAATTTAGAGTCGGTTAACCTCTAAATCTAACTATTTTCTTATGCCGAAAGAACCAAATGTTCACAATAGTGTTAACAAGGGTTCACCTAAAGTTTTGACCAATACGTTGCTTCTTGGAATTTACCAGCGTATCTTTGATCGTTTAAGGGAGATAGTATGACGAGATACGTGACTTGAAAATCTATAACTTTACTTATATCTAGAATATATCTTTCCTAATTTTCTTGTTGTCCGGTAATTTATTGTAGGAACTCAAAGCCAATGATAAAGTTGGAGTTGACGCCAATCTTTTCTCCATTGGTGAGTTATGAATAGTATTGAAACATTCAGAGCTATTTTAAATAGGGCATCCAAAGTAATCCTGAATTCCTTTGTATTCGTTTTGCTTCAAAAGCCCTCTGATTGGTCACCCGAGTTATTCCCTCAACCAGTAACGTGAAAAAGGTAAACAAATTACCCTGTAGTCACTCACGTCTGTGCCCGCTCCAGGTACTTCATTTGGGTTCTTATTGCCTCCCAGCCATATCCTCGTTGTCCAATTGGTTTTCAACATTACTTAGGTCTTGCTTAAAGGCCACTTAGTCTAACTAAGCTCTGCGTGAGCTTGGAATTGGGGCTTAGGTGGTCCTGTGGGTATTCCACTGGTTAAGAATTCGGGGTAGTTGGAGTGAGTTACACGATAAATATAAATGATACCAATCATAGTGATAATATTGTTTGAAATACTTTAATTTTTGCAGATAGGTTTGAGACCATGCACAAGGTAGGTAGAAATGAGGGATACTTTTAGACAATTAATCCACTTTAGTCGAAGATTACGAGTACGTTACGCATTGTTAAAGTAAATTACAAGTCCCAACATACTGTCTGAATCATCTCCCTTGAACAGTTTTGTAAAGTACATTTAAAGACATTTAACTGTAAGAACGAAACCTTTGAGAGTTGGACAAGAATCAAATGTTTGAATTCTGAACTGTTGATGTCGGATTCGCGATAAGAATGACCTTTCATTGTCTCATATAGCTTTCGCTGTTCAATTTTATAGGAGCTTGCAAAGTCCAATATAGCATTGACGGCTGTTACTAAGAATCTTGTGGACGAAATATGGACAGAAGGCAGACCACCTCTGAGCAACGCTACAATATTTGTCTTGGAAATGCGGTACACAGGTTGGAAATACTTTGTATTTCATAATAAAGGCATAGTGCGACGTTTACTTTCTTCGTTTCCTTCAGTCTTTTCCTCCACCTTTTCTGTACCATCCGTGTTGTATTACTTTATATTTCTGTTTAATTTGTTTCAGGGAAGTCGTGGAAAGACAAAATTAAAGACCTTCGCGAGCAACTGATCTCGAATAGTGCGACTGCGTTCATTGTGTACAAACTTGATGAAGTAGCTTGTAAGTGACTTACCTTTGGTATTGGATTTTCGAAAACGCGGCAGTAGAGAATTAATCCCGCTCGTATTCCGTCGCCCCAGCACTAAGGACTTACAGGTCATGACACTTGCTTCAAACACAAATGTCTTGTTTTCTAATTGGCTTAGAGCATGAAAACATGTAAGGGCTTTCTTCTGAGAAATCGAAGGCCGGGATACAGCACTTAAGTGCTTAAGTGCTTAAGTGATTTTGTATTCCAAAAACTGATAGTCATACTCTGAAGACTGGGGATAAAGCTGACTGAGGCCTGTTCTACGTCCGCCTTTAAATAATGATATTTGATTCTTATTCGTAACATCGAAGTGAAGTGACAAGCGACAATCTGTTACTTTATACCAGGGTCGAACTTATTTTTTTAGGCGTTCTATGCGTTTTTTTGGGTCTGCCTATGTCTTTGGGCGTTCTATGCGTTTTTTTTTTCGTATATTCAAAACTCGATATTGTAATGTTGAGTACACTTCGATGGGTCCCTGATATTTAGGTGATACAGATGGATAATTTTCGTGCGCCACCCAACCTGATTCTTTTAAGGCCATTACGTGCTCGTTGTTGTGGGTGATATGATTTAGGGTAAATTTCCGAATCGGGTTGCAACTACCTTCGTGTTCACGGCACAGTCTTGCAGAAGAAGCCTGGTCTCGAATTCGCCTATTTAACATTTAGTGAATATGTATTATGGAGGCGAAGGGTCTGAGAGAGGTATGTACATGGAATGGATTTTATGATGTGATTTGATGTTTTTAGGGCTGTTGAACCTAAGAGGAAAAGATGTTCCATCCAACCCTTTCTTCTTCGCGTTCGTCATCGTCACCAAGGACGAAGTAAGGTAAGTTCGAAGTTGGATTTGGCCGCAAGCATGTCAATGGAATTGTCGACTGCAGATGTTGTTATTGTTAGATATTGTGCAATTTATACATAGATTAATATTAGAGCTGCACCCAGAAACAGTCTTAATAAATACGTCATAGAATTAGTGAAACCTGGAGAAGAGATAAGTTAATTTTCTGAAAGATTTTGGGTAGATTGTTCGTTACTTTCGATATTATAAGGGCCCGATCAGTCCAAAGGAATTTGTTGTCGCCAAATCTGCTATATTCTTTAGAAAAAGCGTTGTTTGATTAAATAAATTGTCTGCCTTGAAATATACCGGAGACCATTTTAGTTTTCTTTTCAATTTCTGTGGCTTATGCTTTACTCTTGTTAGCCATATCTTAGCAAAGAGTCACAAAACGTCGCCCAGTTAATCGAATATTTTTTCCTGTTCAGAGTTTACGTTGATGATTCCAAGTTAACCGATGACGTGAAGAAACATTTAAGTAACGTTGAAATAAGTCCTTACAACACATCCGTTCTGATTGCTGACATAAAAGCAGAAGCAGTTAAACCCAACGCAAAGATTTGGGTAAGTTCAGGTGGTCGTTACTTCTTCTGAGTTTTACCCTTTATACTTCGTTGTGCTATGGTATAGCATTGTTCCTACGATATGAACGATTAGTGAATTTAACGATTAGCGTATTCACCCTAGATTCCTCTGTAAGTTTGTCGATGAGGGTAAAACCCTCAACGACGGCAGAAACCTTTAGCTCATAATTTTTTGGTTTAATAGATCATAACAGCTTTCCTATTGCCTTGTAAAATGATTCAGACGTCAGCAACGTCGAAATGAGACGTACCAGTGATAAGGGTTTTTTTTATTGACGAACAACTCACATACATCGATTTCAAGATTACATTTCATTGAAATGTAATACTGTTTATACCGGTAATGTGGCGTGACCTATGACCTTTCTTATCCCTCGAAGCTATGATCAATATGTCCTACATCAGTATCCCCCATAGCTTTACGTGTGGTGTTTTAAACCGGATTGTTTTTGTGTGTTTTGGTCACTAGTTGAGCAAGTATGCCAGCCCTTACTCTGCCATGGACGCAATTGGTAAGGTAGGTAGTACACTTTGCAGCCTAAAGTTGTAGAGATTTCGTACATAGACAGTTTATCAGTACACTTTCACTTTACCGTCTTGGTGGTTATTAAGTAGACATTATACTCAAAAGTTACTTGTTTACTTTAAATAATAGCAAGACAAGGTACTGTTGAAGGACTCACCCATAGCATTGCCAAAGTCAATAAAAAATTCCGTAGAAATCAAAGGAATGAAGAACGCTTACGTAAGTCTAACGTTGTTTTCTGTTTATAACATTTTTAACCACAATTTAGTTTCTTGAGTTCTTTCTCCGGTGGCCGTTTTCCGATGGAACAACCCTCCACCTCGCAGTTGTAACTATTTTCCGGTTTCAATACGAGTACAAGTCGTAGGAATGGCTTCAATGGGTAGGAGCTGCAAGGGAGCGAATGGTCTCTACAAGTCTACTCGTCTAGCTGTACCTAACTATACCTGGAAATTGCCACCAACCACATTCTGTTTTTTGACGTCTGTAATTTGTGGTTGAAATTTAACAGGGTTCCCACTGTAGAACTATAAGAGACATCGCCTTTAGACTGTATGTTCGAGAGATGAACAGAAACAGCTTATTTTTCATTCAAAGGAGCTTCTGCTCCATCTCCCTTTTGTAACTATTTGAACAATTTCCCCTTACTTTCTCCATTTTTCTATTGAGCCCTGGACTCCAGGCTTAATAATCAACCGCTGCTCGAGAAAGAAGCCTTCGCTTTTCCCTCGAGAAACGAAGACTAAAGTCGTGAGAGCGACAGAAACTCCTGGCCTTTGATTCGCTCATTTTTCACTGTTCCTACTTGGATGACTAGTTTCTCTGACTTCTGCCGAATCATTCCTGTTTAAGTGTTTTGTCTCCTTCTTTCTAATCGTGTACACCTCTGTTCAAAGCAAAAACCGTTCAGCAAATCGTTCTATCTTATCATCTTATTATATTGTTTCGTTTTGGCTCAATAAAAAATTAGTTATTTTCGGTGAAGTTAACAGAGACACGTACCTTTCTTTTTCTGCAGCTTAAAGACAATGTTGCCATGGTAGAATTTTTCTATTGGTTAAAGAATGAGGTAAGGAAGTGTGAAGTAAGCATAGTGACTTACGAATACTAAAAAATAACTTTGAGGAAGAAAAGGGCCTCAGTGAGCCGGGTTAGGTACGATCTGATGAATGTCCGAAAAAAAAAGTTTATTTCAAGCACTTTACTGAATTTTAGGCCACCGTGGTAGACGTTTGTCAGTAGTATCAGGTTTTTATCAAATTCGTATTGGGACACTTGCAGACTCGGGGACATATATTGTTCCTTTTGTCGTGCGTCTCACATGACGTGGAAATTAGTTGCGTTTTCTTTCTTTTTTCCTTTGCTCCTTTTGGTGTTATTATTTTTTCATTAAAAAAAACAACTCTATGTCAGCTTGTAGAGTGGTATGTTGCTCGTACCAATCAGATTGCCGCTTTAGGGTATGTATCTCGCACCAATTATATCACGGCATTTGGATATCTTGCACCAATCACAGCGTTTGGGTGTTGTATTCTTGTAAATTATGTCATGGAATCAGGGGGCCGTGCACAGAGAATGATCTTAACCAGAAATTTTGGGTTCATTTGATAAGTGTAATGGTTGTGGCCTTCGCAAAACCCTCCTCGATTGAGGTCGAGATTTATCGGGATATGAAAGGTTCGCATTTAACTTAACGTATCATTTTTAAGTTAAAAAGTGATTTTTTTTTCGCTCCTTCTCTTACGACGCACCCGCTAAACAACTTACATTCCATCACAAGTAAGAAAACAACGTCCAACGTCCAAACTCCCATCAGAACATACCCAATCATTGCACTAAATGAACATTAAGCAATTTTTCACGTGCTTGATATGTATTCCACCAATCAAATTCATTTTTGCCACGTTAGACTTCCGTCCATCACGTGCCATTTCTTGATAAACAACCTGCATTTTATCACGTATTCTAACCGCATTATCCAACCCACTGCAAAAAATTCACACGAAACTAAGTGCTACTGATGGTGAATTTTTCAGGCAATTTTCCCACGTTTTTTAGTTTTCCCACAAATGAAATCCACAATTGGGTGCCTTGGATTTAACCTCATCGCGTGTTATTTCCTAGTAAATAACCTGCATTTCATCATGTTTTTCACGCACAAGGCCCGCAAGGTTTTCATTTACTTTTGAAGTAGAAGGGCACTGCCTTGTAGGGCAGGTACACTGTGAAATTGAGGGCAGAAGGCCCGAACCTCTAGGGGGGTCCGGGTCATGCTCCCCTGGGAAACTTTTAAAACTGAAGTCTCCCAGAAGCGCATTTTCCTGCAATCTGGTAAAGAAATCGTCCTGGAATGACGCATACTTAATCTAATTATAGTAAAAAAAATAATGGTACTCTGGGAGAATTTGTTTATTTCACTACACAGCTATAGCTACATCAAAACACTGTTCTCAGAGCTTCCTTTCTTCTCACAATTACAAGTTAACTTTAACGGTTATAAACTGATAAAGAGTGAAACTGACAACACTTTTTGTAGTTTATGAAAACTCAAAGTCAGAGCCATAATAATTAGCGCTAACGCCTTTTGTCACCATGTGCCACCCAGCAGTTAAAAATTTAAAACAGATATTGACGGAACATTGGAGTCTGATGCACAATCAGCCCATGCTAATAACAATTTTTACAAAACCTCCAATGGGCTTTACAAAAGCCACATGAGCTTTATCTTGCATGAAAATTAAGTTGGAACAACGTTTCTTTCAATTGCTCGGAACATTCAAGCTTTAAAGCCAACAAAATGTTGCCTTATTGAGACGCACGTATCAGCTGATAAGCATCTTTTACAGCAACATTCGTCTCCTGATGTTTATTTTATATTCTGAATTGTATTTCAGTAAAAATGGAAAGCGTAGAAAGCGTACATAATTTTTCGATAAACCTTTTCATCGGCTGTAATCCAATTAGAACCGGAAAACATAAATTTAATTTTGTTGGTCATCGTTTGACTTTTCATGTGCAAATGAGTTGATTGCGCGAGTTTTACTTTTGCTCGCCATGATGACTCCGCAGAACGCCTTGCTTTTAAGGCAAGTCAAGTATAAGAGTTATTTAATAGCTAATTAGGCACTTTAGGAGGAGACAGTCCTATGAACGCTATCATGATCACACAGCACCTTTTGCATCCAGGTAAATTTTATTTCCACGATCTGATGACAAGTAATTGATAAATAAGTGCAAAAAAATGTTTTAAATTTACAGTGAAGAGTTAATATTTAGTTGAGGTTGATAATTTTTCTCATGACGATTTTCCTTTTTTAATTTCGTACTTTAAGTAGCTGGGTGCTCTGTTCAAAGTAGACGGGTGCCGTTACCCGGGACCCGGCTTTTAATAAAAACCCTTGAAGGGAAAAAGAACAGATAAGCAAATTCCAATCAAGGAGCCCTATTTGAAATGTTATCCTTTTCTCTTGTTCAGTGTATCCTCACTTATTCGAGATCGCAATATATTTTTGGTTAGGGTCTATAGGAGATACAACAGAGTTTCAGTTTGCTTTTCGTAGTAAATTACGTGGAATTAGATTTTTGAGACGACCAACTAATAATTTTGATTTTTTCTGTTAGAGGAACTAATGTAAGCGTAGTCCCTTCGCAACCGCAACAACGGCCATGGCGAATAAGCTCCCTCTTAACGAATCCAAAACCAAAGTTCTCACAGTCACAGGGAAGAGGTTGGCGCCCAGGATCCAGCAGGACGCATTAGTTATTTTAGGAACTAGCCAAAGGCTTTAGCAAATGTCGACTGTGTTTCACTCTTAGGTCTAAATATTGACAGCACGCTCTCTTTCAATGCACACGCTGATAAAGTCTGCAAAAAACTGGCTTCGCGTATTGCCATTTTGCGAAAAATTCGCACGTATTTACCGCTTCCTCAACGCATTCAGTATTACAATTCTATTATTAGTCCGGTTATGAGTTATGTCAGCGCCATCTGGTCTAATTGTGATAAAGAATTGTTATATAGAGTTTTTAAGCTGCAGAAACGCGCTGCTAGAGTCATCCTTTACGCAGAGCGGATGGCTCCATCCGTAGAACTCTTTAATAGACTGAAATGGATTCCTTTTTACGAGAAGTGTAAGATTGACAAAGCGTCGATAATGTTTAAACGAATCCACGGTGCACTACCTAGCTATTTAAACGAGCATATTCCGATCAACAACTCAAGACATTCAAGAACTACGCGCTATTCAAACTTTAATGTACTGTGCCCCAGATATAACAGGGAAACTGAAGGTGGGCGCACTTTTCTCGTCACCGGAACCAAAATTTGGAACGAGATACCACTACGCATACGGATGGCGGACAGCATAAGGTGCTTTAAGCACAACATGTGGACTAATATTTTTTCGCAGCAACAATTTTTAAGTCATTTTCGTGTATAGTTTCCTTTTTAGTTTCTTTACTTATCTTACAATTATATTATATTAGTTTCTATTTTTATATTGTATTATACTAGTTTTTATATTGTAATTATTTCTGAGTGAGGGCCACAAGTTTATTAGCTATGCTATTATGTGTTACCCTCGTAAAATAAAGTCTTTATTATTATTATTATTAACCGTTATTTGATCTCGTCACGCAACGCGCTCACTCCCCAACGGGGAATATAAAGCGTTGTGTGACGAGGCCAAACAGTGGCTGCGAAGGAGGCTACGGTAAGCGTAGCACCGATGCATTTTATTTTTGCTCAGAATTATTTAAAAAATAGAGACCATAGACCACAAAATACCTGTTTGAGTTAAGATCAATTATGTCTTTCCTCTTTCTCTTGAAGTGAAGTAATGCGATATTTTCGTTCTTTTGAAAGTTATAAAAATATTAGGAACAAAGTGTCCTATTACGATCTACCCAGCCAAAAAAATAATTCTTTCATGCTACGCATGCCCATGTTTAGTTTAAGTTATCATCATCGATTCTCTTAATCAAATTTGTATTTACCTTCACTTTAAAAGTATTTATCTGTTGGACCCAAGTCAAGCACTCAACAGAACACAACCTGAATAAAAAATAATCAATAACACTTCAAGCTCAAACCTCTCTTTGAGAGAATGTAGAATTCACCATAATTACGGCCTTTATAAATTATCTTAACCGAGCAATTATGACGTGAACAGCTGTTTCTGTCTTCGTTTGAAGGTGGCTAAAGGTAACAGCGGTATCACAGAAATGTCATCGGTGACTAAACTGGAAGAATTTAAAAGGTGAACACCCTGTGGTTTTGTAGCTGTTGTGACATTTTTGATCAGTAACAACACTGAAGAACTTAAAAAAACAAGTGCATACCCTCAAGATGGCAGCTTTGTTTAAATCACTATCGATAGTGGGGTTTATTAGCGAATATTTATCCATCTCTAGTTGTACTGTCTTTGTGATTTTTTGTATTTTTTACAACATCGACAGTGTCTGTGTTAAACACTTGTCTATGAAGGTAGATATGGCACCAACTGGTCTGCTTTTTGATTTACGGTATTTTATTCCACTTTTTAAACATTAACATCTTAATATCATTGATGATATAAGCGCACAGGAAGGCTATCAAGGCTATAGTTTCGACACCATCGCTGGGTTTGGTCCAAATGGAGCCATTATTCATTACAGGTAGGTAGGTGCACGAGTTCTGTGAGGTTTATATGACTTTTTGTATTTTTTATTTATGCCAAGACCTGCAAAGTACTGCAAAAATACCACTAAGACTAGCCTAGTAAGTAAGACTGAAAAAAGGCAAACTTTAAAAGATCAACGCAACCGCCGTGGACGACTTCTTCTCTAGAGAAAAAAACCTAATTTCTACCCGTTTGATGAGATTATTAAGTTCCACCAACGAGGAATCGTCAGTATTTCGTTTTTCAATGGTACTTTGTGCCCTGAACCATAGCCCAGAGGAAGGAACAAGCTGACATTTTAACAACAAAAACGGACGCTTTTTGTGACTTTTTCTGTTATCAGGGGAATAGTCTTAACAGGCTGGTATAGTTTTATTTTAAAACGCCTTAACGAACATTATTCGGCTTCCAGTTTAAGTCTGTATTTCTATTTTCATTACAGAAGCCTCTTCGGTGCATTTCTTCGATCTTTAGTCTAGAGTTTACAAGTCAGAGTTAACAAGTCCTTGTCTGACAATTGTAATTAAATCGTAATCAACGTTTTTCACGTGAAATAACAGCTTACGAAGGTTTCACTCATAAGAAGGGATTGCTGAAAAATGATTTAAATAAGGTTGTTAAATATTTTCTTTTTGTTACTATTTCGCTTTGGTGTGCTTTGTATAGACCAGAGGAGAGCACAAACTTGAAAATCACAGATGAGAACACCTTCCTAGTTGACTCTGGATCACAATTCTTGTAAGTATCGAAGTAGCAACACTCGGACAACAGTTATTGACCATCCCAAATGCGTAGTTTTGTTTGGTAACAGTCATCTACACTCTCTTGAGGAACAAATTGTAGAGCTTAGATGGTAATGCGAAATGCGTAACCATAAATCCTTCACTACTTTAATTGCATTTCTGCAGAGACGGAACAACGGATACAACTCGCACGGTACACTTTGGAACACCTACACCCCATCAAAAGGTACAGTTGCACTAGATTTCCTGCGTATTCTCCTTAATGGACCTCGTTTAAAATCTCGTAGCACAGTGTCCTACATAAACATGGTCTAGAAAAAAAGGTTGCACAATATCTACAGAAGGACACTTTTGCTACTTACGGATTCCATGCGCACCAAGATTTCCCTACCGAGTGTCTCTTTCGTAGTATGGAGAAAATTATGGCAAGCTTGTCTATGACAACTTCTTTACTTGACAGTTGACTAAACCTACTTTTGGAGTGAAAAATTGTTAAGCAACAAAACCTTTTGGCTACGGCACTTGCTAAGCGTAGATGACCGATGAAGAGTTTCATCGAGGACACTGTTGAGGCTTTGAATGGAATTTGTACTTTAAGACATTTGCTTTGTCTAACACTGATTATCGCGCTCTACCATTCTTAAAACACCAAGGAAAGCAAAACTTAAAATAGGGGTGACACTAATCCACAAGTTTTGTGACCAAAACCATTTCCTCACCCAATCTTTTTACACGGAAAAGGTACTGGATGACTACGAGTTTAATTTGCCAATCGATTTTAATTTACAGGATGCCTATACACGTGTCTTGAAAGGTCAGATTGACCTCGCTTTGACTGTGTTTCCGGAAACCACTCAAGGTTTGTAGTGTTGCTCCCGTAATGGATGATAGAGGTGCAATAGAGTTTTTTGGGAGTTAAAAAACCTACTTAACTGGCTATGGACGCAAGTTAATGCCATCCCACGTTCTCGATAGGGCGCTTTCTAGATGTTATCGCTCGAAAAGAACTGTGGAGAAATGGTTTGGACTACAGACACGGCACCGGACACGGAATAGGAATGTTTTTAAGTGTACATGAAGGTGAGGCCAGAGAAATGGTTAGAGTAACTAAAGCTGATAAAGCCAGTCAAACCGTTAATAAATGTCACTAATCTACTATGTAGGGCCACAGAAGATATCCATTGGTTGTCCAAAGCCTTGGGAAAAACCCGTCGTTCCTGGAATGTTCCAGTCGGATGGTAAGCTTACTGTGATCTTCTCCACAGCCAGAATACCTTTATCAGAGTTTTATGCCTCATACTCCTATTTGAATGCGGAAGAAACAAAGAACAGAAAGGGTGCGTACACAAATCGCATTCTTCTGGATCCTGAATTTAGGAGACGTTGGACGAGTTACATGGCTGTAAAGTTCCATTTCCTTTTATGTTCCCATGCGGAGATATTGGATGATTCCTTTTTATTTAGAACCAGGGTATTATGAGGACGGAACGTTTGGTATCCGACTGGAAACAGTGATCATGGCTGTCGACGCTGAAACTAAGGTGAGACGAACGGTCACGCCTTCCTTTAAATAACCAGGAAAGCTGGATGAAACTTTTAGTACGAATCCTTCGCAACAATCGTCTCAGCTCGTCACTGAACTCACATCTTGATGCGGAATGGGACAGTTTTTCATGACGAGCTCAAACGACATCTGCGAGTCTTAAACAATAATTTTTTAATACACTTTGACTATGGATGTTGGTGTGACAACAGCAGCGAGAATTTTTAACACAAGTTACCTTGTTGTTTTATGTCAGCTAAAGCCTTACCTTACATGGAGTCACATAACTATTTCATTCTTCAATTAGTCATTAAAGAGGTTTACTCACTTCCAAAATCTTCTGTATAATGCCTGTCTGTCATTTTGCAATCGCTACTGCTCGTTGACAACAAAATTATGAAACAAAAACCTCTTACTCCACTACACCCTTCTTTCATAGGAAGTAGAAAATGTTTAGACCTTTCGTCAATTAACGACACTATAGTGATTGATGTTATTCGTTGTCTCTCTCTCTCTTTCTCAGAACACCTTCAACGATGTTAAATACGTGAAATTTGAACCTGTGTCCTTTGTAAGTACAAAAACGTTACCTTTGTAATCAGAAGACGGAATCATAATGAAATGTTACTTTTAACTCTTAGTTTTACCCCACGGTTTGGTTGTGTCGAGCTTGGACGTGTCGTAAATTACTCGAACATTTGTGTCTCTCTTCCCTCGGCTGTTGGAACGTTTTTATTGTAATGAGAGGAAAAAAAGTCATCATGGAGGGTGAATCACACAGCCGGGTGGGATGGGCTGAACCTATAGTTCAATAGCAGTCGTGAACGAGCATAACGCTGGTGGGGAAAACCGTTTTTCGTCTTGGGGCAAAGAAAAAAATTATAATTTCCCACGAAGAATCGAGCCTCAGACCTTCGGATTTCGCGCTCCGATGCTCTACCACTGAACTACAGTGACTCTGTGGTGAGCAATGCAGATTACGAAGTTCTCATATGACACGGTAGTGTATCGGAGTATCGCAACGCGGAATCTGAAGGTCTGAGGTTCGATTCTTCATGGAATCTCCTCTCATATTTTCACGGAATATCCTCTTCATATTTTCTTTACCGAGGTCAAAATATACCATCTTTCTTATTATATTTACAAACATGAGGCTATCGACAACGCTGATCCTAGCAGTATGCAGGACGCGTGTTAGATACGAACTTCGTAATGGGCTTCCCCCCCTGATGGAGTCTCGGTGGTTCAGTGGTAGAGCATAGAAGCGCGGAATCCGAAGGTCTGAGGTCCCAATCCTCATGGACACTCTGAATTTTTTCTTTGTACCACGCTCGTGACAAGACGGACAACATCTTTCTCTTTCCCGAGCACACACTTTTTCTTTTTCTTTCCAGAGTTCAAACTTACCACCTTTCTTATTCAATTTACAAACATAACGCTGACGTAATACGGAAGTTGTGTCTAAACAGAGTTTAATAAAAGAAGTGTTTTTCCAGTTGTTGACTTACGTACCAAACGGCCGAGAAGCCAATCTCAGGTCGCACCTGATAGATCGTGAATTTGACGCATGACGAAAGAGTGTGTTGTTTAACCAGATTTTAGTAGCCGAGCACATGAAAGCACTGACAATGATAGACATGTGTAATCGACAGGTGCCATACTGGAAGAAACTGATCGACGTGAGCATCATGACTCCCAAGGAGGTAATTAATATTCGTCAATCTAAGGAGAGAATTGCGTGACCATTCCAGGCGACGGTTGGCAACTAGGACTTGGGGGAGGTGTTTATTTTGCATAGTTGTGGACCTTAAATGAAGTGTCTCACCACCTGATTTCTCGTCTAACCTATTATTCCAAATTATTTCCTTTAAATGATTGTAAATATTTTATTTACGCTTTGTCTGCCTCGAACAGTTTTTATCCGATTACCTCCATGAAATGAATTGGAGTCGAACGGCTGCTTTGCCGGACGGCTTCACATAAACAAGCCGTTCAGAATGATAAAAAAAATATCAAAAATAGACTGGTTATGACTACTCCTTCCCCTCCTTCTCCCCTCCTTCCACCCCTCTCTCTCTCCCTCTCGACCAAATCTCCTCTCGACCAAATCTCCTCCCGTCCGTACCTCTCGAGAGAACAGTAGACTATTAACAGTCTAAATCTGAATTAAAACTTTAAATCGTAACGAAACAAAGACATCAGTGACTGACTTATTTGCTTCTTATCGCAGATTGATTGGTTGAACGATTACCACAAACAGTGCCGAGAAAAGGTTGGCAAAATGTTAAAAGACCAAAAAAAGGAGGACGTTTATAAATGGTTGGTGGAAGAAACTGAACCAATCTCCACGACAAAAACAGAAGTAAATGGTGGGCAGATGCTGGCGGTCTCTCTTGTAACGATCTCGTTTTCTTTCCTTTCCTTGTTTTCCCTTCTGTAAAGTAACATGCTAATTGACAGAATGCACGTCCATGGTAGTAAGGATTTTCAAAAGCCAGGTAGCATTAGAATAGCCATTTCGTGGGAAAAGGGAGTCCTCTTTTATCATTTCGATCAAGTTGTCAGTTTTTAATAGCATAAATGTTATGGTTCAATTTTTTGTTTAGTTTTAAAACTTCTAAACCAATTTAGTTTGGATGTGCCTGTATCTCAGATCTATAACCATAATCTCAGTTTTAGTCATTTTTGTTTTGCACTTGTACCTAGAGCAGGGGAAAGTTCGTTCGTTCAAAGTTCGTTCTACTTAATGTACTTATGGTATTTGCTACATCCAATAAAGACATATATCCGAGTGTTCCTTGACTTTGTTATGATTATTTTCCAACTACCAAGTTGACCTGACCTTGACAGTGCGATCGAAGGTAGTGTGATACACATATTCTATGTGCTTTCCAGTTTACGGAAGCTTGACGGTAACAAAAAACAGAGGCTGTGACTTCAAATGTTGCCATTGTTTATTTTTTTTTTTTGGGCCAGGATCGTACGTTGTTTTTGTCAAAGCGTTTCTGTTTGTGACTCTGGATTCTCTCCACGAAAAAAATAGAAGAAAGAAAACGAGAAAAAAATTGATAACCTCTGATTCGTTGTTACTATTCATTATAACAGCAGAAATTTTGGGTGAACGCTAATAAACCTATCTGTCGTATTTCACGAATTTTCCAACGGTACAAAAATGGGTTCAACGAAGAGTTCACCAAAATTATAGGTTGACAGAGACATCTTGAGGGTTTTGTCTACTCTTTTAATATGAATGGCAAGAAACACTCAAAAGAATGGGGGATAACATAGAATGAATGCGGAGTACTCGTGGAACATGTTGTAGAAGGTTTGTTTATAGCGATTTACACTACAACTGAATTTTGTCCTTTGTGGATGATTCGAGTAGGCGTCTCTTGGGTTCACCACACCTAACGGCCATTTTGTTGTTTAAGACTCGGGTAAATCTCCAAGTATGGAGCGGTCATTAAGATCAAGAACAGTGTTAGTACAGCATTAGCAAAGGCGTTGTAAGAGTTGTGATTCCACAGAGGTAGCGACATTCCTGCAATGGTGAGTAGCCATAACAAGATAAGTAAGGTGACAAACCGTTTCTTCTTGACTAATACACAATATCATCGTCCCGATCGAAGACACGGTATATCATCCCGATCGTCCGTCAGGAATCAACCTGCCTGTTCATTGACAATTGCACCAGCTCCAAAATCGGCTAATGCCAAAGTGAACAGAAAGGCCTTGAGCACCGAATGTACCTGTAGAAAGGAAAGTTTCCAAAACGCAACGATGATGAAAGTGTTACCAATAATTGCCACAACAGAGAAAACGGTGTTGACAGCAATGTCGACTATGTACCAAGTGAGAGGGATATCAGAGTGCATTTAGAGACCATTTAATACAACAGAGAAGTTGTCAGCCATTCTTTGTCCATTCATAAATACTGATACCTCCAAGCTGAAAGTGAATACGAGAAGGCCTAACTTCCAGCGAACCTATGCTTATTGAGGAAAAGCTCAGAGCTCTGACTTTACTGAAATTAATCGCCTGATTTTCTTTTAGTACACAGATAAGTTTTAATCAGTTTGATTTCATAAAACAGTTGTCGAGGTGACAAAAGTAAATGGGAAATATCCGTTTGTAGTATAAATAAAATGTACAATGCGTTGATTTAATCAATAGTTACCTTTTTGCGAATAAATTGTTTTCTGAAAATAAACAATGAGAGTTCAAATTGAAAAGAGAAACCTGCAACGTGCTATCAACGTTATAATAGTATAAGGGAGCGCAAATTAATTGTATTCGTGAGTATTCGACGGAGACACGAGTGATAAAGTTTTCTGTTTGCCTGGTTGTTGTCGTTTTCCGCTCCCTTTACCTTTTTGTGGCCCGTTTGCAAGTGTTTCTGCAATTTTGTTTTCCTTATGAACTTCTGTCAATGATCATCAGTACTTTTCTTCATTCGTTTCATGCAAATGTATAAATAACCGAGAAGAACTGGGAAGAACTACTAATTGATGTGGGAGCAGCGCTTATCTATTGGCTATTGACCACTAAGCAGAAAGTGACTGATTACCTTTCGATGGCCATCTGGTTTGGTGCACGGGTTGATTTAGTACTAACTTTCATTGGGAAGAGATCCAGGATTGGTTGTGGTTCAAAGTCATAAAATACTTTAAACATCAACAAAAGGATGCGCCTCTCATAGAGATAATCCATTGGAAACCACTTAAATTCCTTCAGAGTAGTGCTATCACTGTCGATTGACTGTACTTTGTTTATAATGTGACACGCGCTAACATGGATGCAATTCAATGATGTAGAAGAGGTATAGAGCAATTTGAATATACAGCTCACAGCCAGCTAAATACATTTTCCTTGTTAAGAAATAAACAGTTCTGCTGAGCAACAGATAGCTTTAACATAGATGTAGCTCATGTATACTTTGTTCGGCCTTGAAAGTAGTAGCGATAGACTGTCATCACACATCGGAAATTTGGATTACTTGGACAATAAAAACCTGTTTCTCGTACCTTTGTTTTGCGCTGCGAAGTCAAGTGTGTAAATTCTTTGAATTTAATGCAAATTTGTGGGTGCGAGATAACGGTCTTTTTTAAAACCTCCGAACAATATCCCCAGATGTTTGCCCTTCTTACTCCGCTCAGTGTTTCACTTCAGTATTAACCCGAGGTAAATCTGCAGCTATCATGGTCAACTTAACCTATGTCAGGCCTCTTGTCGGTCGACAAGGGATACTTAAGAAATTTAGTTTTGCTGTGACATGTTTTTATTCACTGGGAAAAGGAGACTTCCTCAAATTGAAACGAATTAAGAGTAAATGTCAGTAAAAATCAAGGAAAATTCAAAAATCGTGGCCACGGTCAAAAAATCGATCTCGCTCCTACTTTGTCAGTTTGAAGGCCTATGTAAGTAACTGAAGGATATGAGGTTAGTTTTTTGAAATATTCCATATAACGGCAGAAAACCACGAAAAACGGTCACCCTACCGGAAGCTCGGATTTCACCTGGCGGAAACTCGAAATTTTACACTTTTCAGCTTCCCGCTACACAGACGTTTACATAGCTGTGAATCTTTCTTAAGTATAATTGAATACATTGATTCTTCCTTAGTCAAACCATGGGAATTATTTTTATCTCTGCTCATTTGTGAGCGAACTGAGACCCGATTAAGAAGACACACTTTTCTCATTTACGCGAAGGTGTAAAATAATCCAAACTCAGCGACGAAAAAAGCTGACCGGTAGTTCTTCAAATCCTCTGATATTATAACCAAAGACAGCTCAGTCATTGATTTTTAGGTCTATGGTTTTAAATCTTTAGGATCTAGTAGCACTTTTGCATGAACGCCGATAAAAATTCGATAAAATTCCAATTGAGCGCCTTTGAAATCTACAACTCTACATAACAAAGCACTATTGAATAAATTAACTCCTCGGCCAAAGTTTGTACATAAAACATAAGGGTTTTGCTTTTTAGCGGTTTGAAGCGTTTTAAAATATATATTAATGTTAAATATTGTCTACACAGGTAAAACAAACTATGAAACACCAAATTACCACGAGCCGAAATTAAATCTCACAGGCTCGCTCCCTAATCTGCGTCACGCACGAGCGACTTAGCTACAATTAGCACAGTAACAAACAGATATTTACATCCGTTGATTTTAAATAAGTCGTATTTTTAAAATATCTTACTCAAAGATGTGCCAGGTTTCCCAGTTAACTTGCTGAAAAAAAAAAGAAAACCTTAATAGTAATTCTAGCTCAATAATAATTGATTTTATTTAGTATGAGAAGTTTTGTGCCGTCGAAAACCAATCGGAAGTAACTGTTTCCACGAAAAGCAAATATTGCATCGTTCTCTAAATAAACAAATCTACTTAACCATATAACCAGAGTATGTTGTTGGCGAAGTTAATAGACATACATAACAACGACGTCTTGCTCGTTCTTGAATATTGTCGGTGGGATTTGCGGCGCAGACGAACGCACTTGCTAAGTAACTTCCAATGGCTAATTACTACCCTTACTCAGCTTTCGTCACACTGCTCACGCTGTGTAACAAGGATATAAAACATCGCACCAAGTCCTAAAAAACTCTCCGGACTTGAACCAGAATTGATTTTAGCAAGATTGCGTGTTTTTAAAAGCCAACGAGTTTATTGGAGATGACTACCCGTACCGTCTCATCGTGTCACTTAGGCATAACCTGACACGATGTCGATAGTTTCGACTCCTGATGGCCGAGAGCACTCGGATTTCTTTTTTCCGAGTACGCCTGTGTCACTTACTGAATAATACATCATTCTCATTTATTCACCAGGCTTAAAAATATTCCATCACATTTATTCCATTGTGCGTATGCCACACATGACATTCCAATCCTAGCAGTATGCAGGATGTTTGTCCCATGAAGCACTCGGATTTTTTTTCCGATTATGCCTGTGTCACTTACTGAGTAATACATCATGTTCAAAAGTATTAATTTTTGCACCATACAGGAAGTTGTTTCGGGTCACTCAGCAAGAGCTGTGAAAAGTAGCCGCACTGGAATAGGAATATATTTTTTCCAATCCATGAAGATATTTGACCTTTCAAAATAGCTCGTCCCTATGGGCTCAGGTAAATAACAACTAAAAAATGTACTACCAAGCAGGAACTGTCTCCAATGAGTTTTGTATCCTCTTCATTCTGTTGTCCAATGCGACTATTAAAAACACTATGAGTTTTACGACTTGCATGTTTTATTGATTGCGCTTGTCAAACAACACTACAGTCTGTCATTGATAGAGAAAATAAAGTTTAATTTTGACAATATTCGATGAAAAATACTAAGAATTTTCCAAAGAGGGCACCGAAGAATAAATAATGTGCACTGTCATTTTTACGACATTTAAAAAGGAGGGAAGGGGGTGGGGGAAAGGATTTAACGACCATACTACTCTCTCTCCCCAACCACCCACAAAGTGCACAGTTTGCACAGTATACTAGTGGAAACGTCACATCAACATTTATATGTTTACGTTTAATAGCACAATTAGGGTCGTTGCATCACTCCAATATTGCCATAATAAATAATTCATTGGAGACAGTTTCTGTTTGGTAGAACATCAAGTAGTTGGTTGCTTACCTGAGCCCACAGGGACGAGCTGTTTTGAAAGCTCAAATATCTTCATGGATTAGAATAAATTTATTCCTTTTTCCAGTGCGGGTGCCTTCTCAGCTCCTTACTGTGACCAGAAACAACTTCCGGGATGGTGCAAAGATTACCCGTCCTTCGCCAACCTAAACCTAACTTGGCACGATGAACCGGACAGATAGTCATATCTGATAAATTCGCCGGCTTTTGAAAACATCCACATCTCGCCAAAATTAATTCTACCTCCGTTTCAATTCCGGAAAATTTCAACGACTTTTTGTGAATTTTGATATCCCTGTTACACCGCGTGAGAGGCGTGACGGAAGTTGAAGAACTTGTGCGTTCGTCTGCGCCGCAAATCCCACGAACAATATTCAAGAACGAGCAAGACATCGCTGTTCTATGAAGTTCCCCGAAAATAAACTCTGGTTTTAGATGCAATGTTTCACAGATAAAGATAATTCGATTTATTTATTTAAAGAACGATGCAATTTTCGTGAGAACAGGTACTTCTGATTGGCTATCGACGGCATAAAGCTTCTCATTCTTAATAAAATCAATTCTTATCGTTTCAGTTTGAATTGCTATTATGATATTTTCTTTTATTTTTACTTCAGCAAGTTAACTGAGGAACCTGGCACATCGTTGAGTAAGATATTTTAAAATAAGACTTATTGTAAATATCTGTTTGTTACTGTACTAATTGTAGCGAAGTCGCTCGTGCGTGACACAGATTAGGGAGCGAGCCTGTGAGATTTAATTTCAGCTCGTGGTAATTTTGGTGTTTCATAGCTTGTTTTACCTGTGTAGACAATATTTAACATCAATATATATTTTTAAAAGGTTCAAACCGCTAAGAAAGTAAAACCCTAATGTTTTATGTACAAACTTTGGCCGAGGAGTTAATTTATTCAATAGTGCTTTGTTATGTAGAGTTGTAGATTTCAAAGGCGCTCAATTGGAATTTTATCGAATTTTGATCGGCGTTCATGCAAAAGTGCTACTAGATCCTAAAGATTTAAAACCATAGACCTAAAAATCAATGACTGAGCTGTCTTTGGTTATAATATCAGAGGATTTGAAGAACTACCGGTCAGCT